TCTCTCTCTCTCTCTCTCTCTCTCTCTCTCTCTCTCTCTCTCTCTCTGTATTTGTGTCACAGAGTTTTCATCGTTACAATCGAATAAAAGTTGTGCAAGCCACAAATTTTGCATGAAAATTATTTAATCACAAGAAGAGAGTGCGTTTGAGAGGTGAATGCTTGATAATGAAAATCCAAACGCAAATGATATTAACATTGCATTCACTAGTTCGTTGGCGCTTATTCAAATATATTGCATTTATCACCACATTTTTATCGAGAGAGAGAGAGGGGGGGGGTTACCGTCTACTCGAACATAGTTTATTTTTCCACTCTGTATTCGGAATGCAAATAGTGTTAAGCCATAAAGCGAACGCAAAGGAAAATAGATATAGTTATCTTGTTATGTGATCCTGTAAATCCTTCCATCACCATTGACATCGACTGCTTTTTTTTTGTTGCGGTGTGCAATTCTCGCTATCATTCTCTATTTAGACAGAGTCTAATCGAAGTTTTGTAAATCTAAACTGCTTCTAATTGACGACTTATGCAACAGAAGTTTCATAGATTGTTCAAAATAATTTGCATGTGTTGCGCTGTGTCGTGCAACTGAACCAATTGAGTTTGTTGCATCAATTCATTTGAGAGTTCTCTCAGTGAGTGAAAAAAAAGAAACTTCTGTAAAAAAAATAATCTAATGACTTTGTGTTAGAGACTGTGCATCCCATCAACTTAAGTAAATTATAGAAGAGATTCTTTTCGCATTTCATTCGGTGCATGTGTATATTGTGAATTTTCACTGACTAAGTAATACGATCTATGCATCTACATGCACTGTAATGAACAATACACACCTTATAAAATTATCCTTCCATTTTTACATCTTACCGATTGCAATTTTCGCTGGCAACGAAATGAAGTACGTGCACCGTCAAAATAAAAGGGGATCTACTTTGCATGGCACTTTTGTTGATGAAACCACCGATTCGTCTTCGTTTTTGCATTCGCTCACTAAAACGTTTCGTGGTATGTAATATATATTTATGCTTGGCTTTCATTCCAATTTTTCTTTAACTTTTTGTGTTCATATCAATTTTATTGTATACATGTTGCATAAAAGAGAGAGACTTTGTGAGAAATAAAGGTACTGTAGATTTTTATAGTTTTACAAGTGCATTTTCACTACGTGGCAATATAAAATCACATTGCTATCACTGTATAGTGTGCATCAAACGTTGACAAATTTTCATTCACATTTTCAAAAAAAAGAGCATTTTTTACACTTTTCATCTCATCGCGTACGTTCTCAATTCGCCATTTTTATCCAATTTCAGCAATGATAGAAAACTTTAAGAACAAAATCATATTGATTTGTGATATTTTTCTGCTTTTATTTGTTTCGTCACCTAACTACAAATACAATTAAAATAAAAAAAAAACTTTAGAATGCGATTACTTTGTATTTTGCATTGAGATTATAAAAATATAAGTATATGAGATTGACAGAGCTGTAGAATTCGAAATTGGAGAATTGGCCAGTTAATTCAAAATTTAACATTCGCTTGGGATTTTTCCAATACGTGTGCGTCAGAGTCACCTTATTTTCGCCGTATTTGCGGGGTAATGTCCAATTGAACAACACAAGAACACAATATCCATACGTCCTCACGTCCGATTACCAGAAAATGTTAAAAAGAAGGTTAAAGTTTCATTGCTTTTCTCAAATCCATATATTTGGATTTCCAATTTTCGTATTACGATCGAAAGTCTATATCCAAAGATTTTTAATATCACTGAATATATCAAACTCAATGAAAATATCAAATGAAACTTTTTTTCAAGTAAACCGTAACTGAAAATTCGTTGAAAGTGAATGTGCTATCTGAATGTTGTTGGCTGTTTTTGTGTGCATCCTGATTCGACAGCCAAACTAATGTTTTATAATGTCACAATATTTACTGTAACATTAATAATTGATTCTCGGTAGATCGACCTAATCCAATGGGTAACATATGTGAACAACCGACCATTTATTGAAAACTTCTGATATTGTTTTAAATATTATGCTGTCGCCACTGATATTGGTAGCATGATGATTGTGAAAATTTTACCTATGCATATTAAATAGTGGTCGTTAGATCTGGCGAAGTAAAAACCCATTTAAATGCGCTTATCAATGCGACCAGATGGAAAACTAAAATATGACCACTACTCAAAACCAAAAACTATATGCTCGATGGCAATATTAAGCAATCAGATTATTGTTAAATTGAAGTGACTTCCAAAATGACCTTTTACGAACACTAAATAGTTTTAAATTTTATTCAAGTTGACCAATAGAATTCATAAAGATCGGAGCATCCATTTGTTCGTAAAACATTATTTATTCGGAGATACAAAGGAAGAGAGACAAAAACAGAAATCGAGATAGTGATACGGATGGCAAAAACATGGACAAATATATTCTGATTCTCATGAATGAAATGCTTTGAGCATTTCAATGAAATCCAATGAATTTCTATCGTAGAAGTGGACAGTGGACTCTGTCACGTATCTACGATTTGCAGACGTGACAGTGTGAACTATTCAACTAGTAACATCGAATTCAAATGGTAGATTAATTCTTTTAAATGACAAAGGTGGATTAAAATTAGCATTCAATTCCTAGAAGAATGCATCCAACGCTAGCATAGCCAAAGCACAAGCACAGCCAAAAGAAAGCGTATAAATCTTTTGTCATCATTTGATTGTGTAAATTCAACACGTACACCATTCTGTGATAGTGAATATTGCATCAAAGTTGTACATTTTTAACCATTCGTAATGGTTGGGCCGACGGTAGCATGAAGAATGTGCAATGTAATTAATAAAAAGTTGCCGGTTTATTGAACTTTTTTTAGAATGTTTGAACTTTGAGCAAATTTAATTGATTTGCTCAAGACAAACTATAACACACTTCTGGATGTAATGAATTTAAAATAGAAAACGAAATCCCCATATCATGGGAGAAGCCACGAACTTGACACTAGAAGAACTTTTTTAGAGGAATGATATTTTTCATGTCATATGGCGTTTTATTAGAAATACTAGAATAAAAGCTAGCGCTTTCTAAAAACCATGTATACCACATTTATTTAACCACATATGCGCTTACTTTTCGTTTTACAAATATCACTTACTTCATTTCAATTTATTGTTTTGTCATGTTAATGGTTGAAATAAATAGTATGTTTAGTTTGAGGCTATATGAATGGGTAAGAATAATCATGACCTCCAGATTATTGGTCATGATTATTCTTACCCATTCATATTTAATTGTGCCATTCCACTCATTTTAATAATATTTAACTTAATTTTATGAGTTGACTCCAATCGCTCACTTTTCTCGTCATTTCATACAACATTTTTTATTTTATTCGAAAAAAATCCAAATACATCAACTATCTATGTTCAATTAAAGATAAAATCGAATATATTTTTTTTTTCAACGAAACGAAAAATCTTTCACCATTTTTTCATGTATCGATTACACCAAGTGAATGTTCATTATTTTACAATTCGTCTCGTTTTTGTTTGACATGTTGAATTGCTTGTTTGGCTTGTTTTTCGATGTTCGACCAAAAGTCGAACACTTTTTGATGCGGCTTCAAACCAGTTGTCAATCCATCATTATTAACATCAAGAAAATGAATGTCCTCGTTATGAATCGGTTTGAATCCACTGACTGGATCGTTCTGATGCGTTGGTTTACTAAAACAACAAAACAAACATTTTTTTGTCACATCGAAATTGAAATTTATTCATTTCGATGCCATTTCCGAAGAATCACGTGTGTCAAACAACTTACCCATATTTTGCAAAGTTCGTGTACAATTTGGTGATATAATCAATTGTTTGGAAATTTATTTTCGATTGATCATCGTTTTTATTTTCGATGATTTGATCATAGTATGATTGAGCTGCGCCACATCTACAAATTGTTAAGCATATATATATTCATTTAAGTGCACTGCATACATGCGTTACCTAAATAAATAGCATAGATCATCGGCATGAGCGGCACCAGGCAGTTCCAAAACATCACCACGCTTAAATATATCGAATCGTTTGAATAAATTTAGCGTTGAATCAACCGAAAACCTGATTTAGTTCGTACAAAATACATTAAATATAAAATGATTCTTGAATTAAAATATATATAGAAATGTTTGATAAAATTTTCAAAATTACCACAAATAATAACTTTTGGCTGTTGTATGCTTTGCATGTAATTTGATGGATTTGTCAATGCCCAAGGCAAAATTAAAATCGGATACATATTCAAAAAACTTTGGAATCGCTTGTTCATCAATTTTTGCATCACCGAAATAGAAATTTCGAATTTGATTCGATAAATTATAATGCTCCTGCAAATTTTTCAACATATCTTTTGATTATTGCTTGGCCTAAAACTTTAAAACAGACTGATTACATTCATGGAATTTTCCAACTTACATCAGACTCAAGTGGTAAATCGATGGTATTAAATGGCAAAGGTAAATTAAAATTGGCATTCAACGCATTCAATAATGATGCTGGTGTCTTTGGAATCAACGACATGGCTTCCTAATATTGAACAAAATTAAATTGTTAGCCATCATGTAATTACACGATCTCAAGAATGAAATACACACTAGATTTGTAAGGCTGAACATTGTATCAACGTTAATCTTTGATGTTTTGTACAATTTTTCTGGAGATTCCAAAATAAATGGACGTATTGCATCCTTTCCTATCAATTAAAAGAAAATGCAAATATCAAAATGAAGTAGAAAATCAAGTTCCAATTTTGTTTTGCTTACTTTCCACGATCGGCCCAAATGGTACTGTATAACGCACATAATTATAAACTTCTATTGTAGAAAATTTATTGAACAGTTTTGCCGGGGCCTCTTTCAAGAAGGCCAATAACTCTTCAAACGAATTCTTTGGTTCATCCAATTCCTCTTTGAGAATTCGATAAATACGCGATAAATGATTTTTTTCGGGCGACAGTGCCCAATAATTTAAGACTGATCCACTCATTGGAATGGCATTTCGAAAATATTTTCGTGATTCAGATGATAAAATATGATAATGTGTTGACGCACCGCCTGTAATCAGTTTCAAAAAAAAAATCATTTGAAATCGCGACGCGTATAAATATTGAACCTTATTGAAAGTCATAAAAACCTGCACTATGTCCAAACAGAGTGATTCGTTTGTTATCGCCTCCAAAATGACCGATATTTTTGCTAATCCACTCCAATGCCAATTGTTGATCTTTTAAACCCATATTACCTGAGTATTCAGGGGTGTCGAGTGATAAAAATCCCAATAAACCCAATCTATAGTTAATGGTTACCAAAATTGTTTCCTTTTCAAGCAGAAAATCTGGACCATATACATCATCATGATATGATCCATCCGTAAATCCACCGCCATGAATGAAAAACAATACGGCCAATTTTTCATTCGTTTTCACTTCAGCTACGATGAATGTGTTGACATTTATAAAAATATTTTTTTTTTAATGAATCCAAATTGACTATGTTTGATACCTGGTACATAAATATTTAGTGTCAGGCAATTTTCACTTTGCGAAAATGATACTGGCCAAAAAATTGAAGGTTGTATGCACATATCACCATGATCAAATGCATCCAAAATGCCATTCCATGATTCTACCGGTTCAGGAGCCTAATTTTTCACAAAAATAAAAAATGTCACATTTCAAAGACAAGTAAAACCCAAACTGACCTTGAATCTTAATTCTCCAATTGGTGGCTTTGCATATGGAATGCCTTTGTACGAATAAAATGGAATATTTTTAAATAGTGTTGTATTTCGTAGACCACGCACTTCACCATTACTGGTTTTAATTACTTTGAATTCATCATAAGCCTTTACTTGACTTGTAATGCAGATGAATACAGCACTAGCAAAAAAAATTGAAAACATTTTTATTCTGACTCTATCGTTGAACCGTCACATCCAAATAAATGTGCTGTTCAATACTGTCAGTATTATACTGACATGTAATATATATTGAAAAATGTTTTATTCATATTTAATGTGATAATAATTGTTATATACTAATATAGATAATGGCACATGATTAACCTAGTGATCAACATTATGACATGATCGTTGATTATTTTGTCAAAAATAGCGTACTCATGCTCAAAAGTCACTTTTTTACAATTTCAAGTTCAAATATCAGTCATAAAAAGCGACTAATGTTAAATAATACAGAGAATGCCCACGCCCCTCCCCCCCTTTCGCGTTTTGACAAAAGCAAATCAAACTGTGCTAGATTTTTTTTTTATTTTTACAACATGATCGTGTTAATGTAATTAAGGTATTTTGCTCTTTATGTGATTCAAGGTTGTGTTAAACAGAGAGAAGTAAATAAAAATATAAAAATCAAAAAGAAATCGACACTATATTTTTCTAATGATATTTTTTCTTCTTTTTTTTTAAATACAATCACAACATCACGAAACACATATGCTTCTTACAAAGTTTTGTGAATTTCAACGATGTGTGTGGGATTTAAGTGGAGTTGACCGTTTGCATATACGAGTCGTGAGATGGCGTCTCAAGTCTCAAGTTTCTATGGATTGTACTACTGCAAATATAAGTTTATATAATTTATACATGATTTTAAAAATAGAATCAAGGTTCAATCAAGGCTATCAATTCAATTATTTTATTTAGAAATGAATAAAACCATATCACTGCTCAGTGACGAAGCTTTTTGGCATATTTTAAGATACGACGCCAGAATTTAACGCCTTCTTTTTGCGGCGATACTCCGGGAATCAATGCATTGTTTGTGATATCTAGAAAATTAATATGGTGACCATGTACGGGGTGATATCCCTTAACCGGACGCCCATCAACCGTTGGTCGTCTGAAAATGATGAAATAAGTTCAGATTAAACCTTCATCATTGGCACCTTTTTTTACGATAATATGTAAATATTTTCTTTTATTTGCAAAATAAAATATAATCTAATTCATTTGACATAAAGAAACATACCCATATTTGGCAAAATTGGCGATCATCTGTGACATATGCTGAATGGTATTGTAAGTAATTTTGCTCTTCTCATCGTGATGCATTGTCTTTATTATGTCGTAATACACGGAATCCATAGATTTACATCTGATATATAACAGGGATTCAATGAAAAATAATGTACATAAAACGGTTCCATTACATACGCAATGGCCTTGTTTATTTTAAAGGCATATGACATTGAACTTGTATGGTTTGTATGTGTGCCGCTTGAACTGGTTTAACTTCAATCAATTTAAATGTGTTAACTATTTTTTTTTTCATTTCAAATAATTCTGCTTACCGAAATATGTAGCAGCAGTCATCGGAATGTGTTGCTCCAGGCCATGTCATGTTTTGTGTTTGTTTTACAGAGTTCAATTTGGCATCAATAGAAAATCTATACGTATAAAAAGACATAAAGCGGACATTGCAGTGCATTAAAAATATTAAAAAAAAACCATTGAGTATGTCACAGTTTCGCTCTCACTGATAATAAAATGTTGGTCGTTTCGAATGAAATGCCTGTGTTTTAACGGCTTCATCAATTGGCGATACCATATTGAGATGGGATATCATGTTTACATACTGCACGGCTTTATCATGCTCTTTGGAAACATTGAACATATAATGGTATTTGACTCGGTTTAATATTCGACGATATGATGACTGCAAAAACAGTTTAAAAATTCAAATTTAGAAAAAAATTGTGTTTTATATTAAAGTTGTGCGTACATTTGGTTTGAAGTTTGGCTTTAATTTATGCACCGGCAATACCAAATCAAATTGATCGAGAAATCCATTCAAACGAGTGGCATTTGAAATATCAGCCCAAACTAATGCAAGGTTTTCCTATAGAGAAATTAGCACAACATTTCAAATCAGTTTTAAAACTTTTAATTCGAAAAATATGAATTTTAAGTTTAAATTGGGCACATATTTTTTGGAAAAGTAATAACACTTCATTCAAACTAATCTTCGATGTGAAATAATAATAATAATTTGTCAAAGTTGTTCACAATGATGTTCGTTCAATCGTTATTAAACAATATTTAAAAGTTAAAACTTACGTAATTTGTATAGCCAAACATTGTACTAACATCCATTGCAGATCGATTTCTCTCGTATAACTCTTTGGGCGTATTTAATAAAATCGGTTTATTTGCCGATGGACCTGAAGAAGAAAATATATCCAATTTAAATTCAATCAAATGACTTTGTTCAATAAAAGCGTTGGCAAATTACATTCAATGACTGGAGCCCAATCAAATGTTAGTGTTCGATCAAATGTTGTTTGTGATGTTAAATTAACAATTGCATCGGCCGGTACGTGTTCCAGAAAATGCACCAAATCACGCTTGTGATGAATTGATGTATTGAATTTATGCGCAAAATCAAACATCTTTTGCAATTGACTACTCTCATCTAAATATGAATAGAAAAGGAACGCAGATCCACTCAAACAAATGGCACTACGAATTAATTTTCGTGATTGATGAAATAGAACATGATAATGGGCCGATACAGCTCCTATGGCAATAAAATGAAAGAAAAATAGAAAAAAATGTTTTTTTTAATTGCGTTGAGATTCAATGTTACCAGCACTCTGTCCCATGATTGTGATGTATCGTTTATTTCCACCAAATGCTTGAATATTACAATGTGTCCATTTCAATGCAGTGTACTGATCTTTTAAGCCCATATTACCCGAATGATGCTTCGTATTAAGTGACAAAAATCCAAATGCACCCAATCGATAATTAATTGTAACTAAAATTACTCCACGTTCTATGAGAAAGTCGGGCCCCCAAAAGAAGTTATTGCCCGATCCTTCCGCAAATCCACCCCCATGAATATAAAAAATCACCGGCAATTTCTTGTTTGTTTTTATATCTAATTGAAAAAATATATACATACATTGTTGTGGTTATTGTTATTATTGCAACAAAAAAACATGTTTTCATTACCCGGCACGAAGATATTTAAATAGAGACAATCTATATAAAAAATATAAAAAATTAAAATTATAATTAAAAATTTAACAAAAGTATTTTATACCCTCCGATTCCGGTCCATCATTGCCAAGTGCAAACGATTGTTGTATACACGAGTTTCGATACTGGAATGCGTCAATTGTTTTTGGTTCCCATGCTGCAATTGGTACTGGGACCTATTACAAAACAATATTGTAACAATTAAAATGCATTTATTTTGAATTACAACATGTATGCAAATATATATATATGCAAACGCAAACGATTTCTTTTTCCAAAATTACCTTAAAACGTAAATGATTGATTGGCTTTTCGGCATACGGAATGCCCATGAATGCATAGTAACTAACGTTTCGAAATAACGTAAATTTTTGCACGCCCCGAACATTGCCGTCATGTGTTTTTACCGTTTTATACAAACCATTATTTTCACTGCACACATAATTCAGCGAAACTAACAGCATCAAATACAAAAATTGCATTTCAAATGCGTTCAAATAATTATAAAATAATATACACTAATTTCACAATGAACAATTTTCCAACTGAATGTTGACGGCGATATCTTGACGCTTCTTATTATGTTTTTGGTGCACATTTTTGTTTTTGTTGATTCAATTTTGAAATGATATTTTTATTGATTGCACAGAGGTAGCCAGACAATTCAAAAGAAATGAATAATCTTTGTTTGTATGCACTTGAATACTTTATTTATATATCAATATTCTTAGCCGCTGTGAAATAAATACAGTGCAAATTGATGCTTGTACACAATAAATGAACGGCACAAAATTATGCGCACTTGAAAATTGATACCAAGAACAGATACACCCCGAGTAAAACGTATACAATATTCTAGCAAGAGGTTTCGAATTCTATTTTGCACCTGCATCACAGATAATTCACGTTATCCGATTATAGACATACATTACATTGATACGAATAATCAATCAAATGGTCAAAGTATTTTGATTAAATGCAATTATAATTGCATATTAACTGTAAATTAAAAAAAGAACATCCAAACTTGTTTTATATTTGAAAATAGCGCTATATTATGAACAATTTTTATATATTTTTCCATGGGTATTCGCATTTTATTGAGGTTCGCCTATCGAACTTCGCAAATTAAAAAAAAAACTGTACATAATATAATTATCAATTGAATGGGTAAGAATAATCATGACCTCCAAACATTCTTTAAAAAAATACTGATACAAGACGATGAATTAAAATAAATGAGATACTAACTCGCGTTTAAAATAAATCTGATACTTGAGAGATATTGAAAATAAAAGTGGTATGTATCACATTTATTTTCAATTCTGGCTAGTATATCATTTATTTTAACTCATTTGTGCATTATACCGATTCTCCGAGAGTTTCATATAAGCCTTCCCATGTAGATGGTAAAAGATCGTGAAAAATGAAAAAAATAATTAAATTTTTTTTCTTCGATTTACAAAATTCCAGATCGTGATTTAGATTATAAGGAATGCGATTTTTTTCATTCTGATTTCACCAGATGGTACAAAAAATTGAATAGTATTTGTAAATCGAAGAAAAAAAATTTAATTATTTTTTTCATTTTTCACGATCTTTTACCATCTACATGGGAAGGCTTATATGAAACTCTCGGAGAATCGGTATAATGCACAAATGAGTTAAAATAAATGATATACTAGCCAGAATTGAAAATAAATTTGATACTTGAACGAATTGAAAATAAATGTGATACATTCCACTTTTATTTTCAATATCTTTCAAGTATCAGATTTATTTTAAACGCGAGTTAGTATCTCATTTATTTTAATTCATCGTCTTGTATCAGTATTTTTTTAAAGAATGTTTGGAGGTCATGATTATTCTTACCCATTCAATTATAGAATTCATTTGTACGTTTTGCTTGAAGGCTTATCTGATTCTGAATGGTGAACACCAACAAAAAAAATCCATTCGAATTAAAATGATAAAGCTTAATCATTGGTCTTTTTTTAAACAGACAATCAATAAATAAACATTAAATTAATTTCGTTATTTTCGATTTAAAAAAATATTTAAATAAATGCAGTAGAATGATGATGGAATATAGAATACAGCGAAAGTGAATTTGAATGGCTTCGGAAGTACACACTTGGAAAAAATCAATTACAAAACATTTGATATGATTTGAATCAAAATAGATGTTCTTTTTTGTCGTGCAAAGGAATATTGTGTTTCTTTGTTGAAATGGGAAAAAAAAGTTTGAAGAAAACAGTTGGTGTGAAATGCGTGCAGCGAGGGGATAGACAGTTATAGAATTTATTTATTTTTTTGAATATTATTATCAAGCGAGTAGGGAAGGTACACTGTGTAAACCTTACAATTTTTTCAATCTCCATTAATACAAATCGAGATTTGACAAATATGAGATCATTAATATGAAAATTATAGTTCATCGGCGACCTGCCTAGGTGTCGTTACGATTGTTATAAGAGTCCTTCGATTATTATCGCATCAAATAAAATATAATCAAATAAACTAGCGAAAGGATGGAAAACTCCCCTTGATACATAGTCCACAGAGCATGTTCGAATCGGTGTGCCATATCAACGATATATTGTTGTATGTTGCTGTTGATTGTATGTTACATGATTGTTATTTACTCGTATTCGTTTCATCATGCTTACATATCTTCATTGTGTTGCGAACGATTTTGATTGCAATTTAAAGATTACACAATTTGAATTTTATTATTTACCCATAAAAAAGCCACATTCACGGTAAATATGTTCCATTATTATATTACATCTAAATGCTCATAAATCCAATCGAATGTGATTTGTGTATGTGTGGGTGTGTGTACTTTTTTCGTTTGTACTCCATTCTTTTGGCTTTGGCACAACCCCCGCAATCTGATTGAGATGAAATAAAATTCATCTTTTGGTTAAACGAAGGGAGAAAAGATGAAAAAGCTGCCGATCTGAGAAAAAATGAAAAAATTGTCAGAAAAAAACACACATGAAGAATAGAAGGGGAAGAACGAGCTAAAAAAAATAAATTCGAGCAGGTATATGGAAAAAGAAAGCGTAATAAATAAAATAATGGTGACGCTTTTTTATTACATGTTCGTTGAAATGCCCTCCGGAGTATTTGAGAAATCGTTTTTTCCATTGGAACGGAATAGTCGGTTTTTGAGAACGAGAAAAGTGAAAGGCGACGACATAAATGAATGTTGCTCTCAAATCTACAATGCCAGCTCATGGTTTTGTAAAAGACGTAATTTTCGTTTGAAGAAAAAAAAATGTACAAATAAATTCGGGTGCATCTTTGCACACAGCGCTAATAGATGAACTTATTCGATAGCAACACCAAATGTTTCATAGTGCGAAAAAAGATGCAGTGCTTTTTCTCACGATAAAATACAATTTAAAAATCAAACCCCATGGGTCATGGCTCTGCAAGAACTTTTCTTTATTTTTAAATGCGAAGGAACCAAAAAATAAAAATTATTATCATGAGATGATTGCATCTTACCGAACCTTACAGACGAAATCCCAGTGAATGTGCATGTGCAGGTGTGCACAACAGTACACTTTGCACTCAAAATGAACAATAACATAAAAACATAAATCATTTTCTACTTCACTGCTGCATGCAAGTAGCTACTATTTATTAAGAAACAGTACCACCCGCGCCACATTCAATACTTTCTCCATTATTTTGTAGCAGGAGTCATGGCGACAGCGATGTCGACGGAGTCGTTTAAGGAAGCAATAATGAGAGTAAAAAAGGCTAATAAGGTTTTCTTTCGGCCTGTGTTTTTTTTTTGTACACACTGGATTAAAATGAATCCATGGAAACTTTGTATCAGCATAAAAAAACGTCCATAAATACCTGCAGCGTGGGTGTGTTGTACTGATGTGGGTTCATATTTGTTACTCCTCATTTCACTCCCATCACATTAATTCTTAACTTGAAAGAAAGTTCAATGGTAATTTGCGAAAAACACTCAAAAATCAAAACGATTCCACGTCGATGCAATAAATCAGTGGATAATCTATATATAAAGGAGTTGGTGAAAAAGTGAGTTTTATGTCAAATTTAAATTTGCATTTCACCTACTCCTTTGGTATAAATGGAAAGTAATAATACCGTCACCGTCATCACTTACTTCATCTAACAATGCATGTGCAGCAATCGAGTAGCATACATATTGGGACTTTCAAGCATATTTCATTGATTGCATCAATAAAATCGTTTTTTTTTTTAATGACATTTGCTGCAATCTAATCCAATTTTCAGAATTTTGACAAATATCATGCATCATAGTGTTGTTTTTGCATACATAACATACTGGGGGCTTTGAACTCTGCGCGAATACCACATTAATTCATTCGAATGCCATTTTTTGGTATTCGTACTCCATAACAGTGGCAATTCCTCTAATTCTATCAAATCTCTGTTGTGTATGCGCATTCAAGTATTTGCAATGTTAATCAATGCGAAGTTGAAAGTATTCGCAGCGATAGATTCGTGAACAATTTGGAATTTACAAAATGCATGGAAAAGTATTCGCTCGTTCGAAAAATAGCAGCATTTGCCAAGAATCCGAACCCCCTTGATGATATAACTATACTGATGTTTGAATTTCAAGCACCATTGATCAGGATAACGCCTTGCTTACGCCTCGATAGCTTTAATAGAAAAATCAAAGCATTCAATTGTCAAATTTGCAAAATCGAATCAGACGTTTTTGATATGTTTGCATTGATTTTCAATCAATAAAGTGCGACTGACTCATTGAATTGCAAAACATTTTCAAGTTCAAAAGCATCGATTTCGTTTTCTTCGCGCATGGTCTATATATTTCAATATAACAAAAAAAAAATCTTTTAAAATATCAGGTGTAATCATGCTTTGGATGATCTCAACAGCATAATTTTTAACTGAAGAAAATAGAGAATCTGACGTTAAAAAGTTCAAATTTCTCCTTTTGAAAAAACGGAACACAGTGAACGTAGTTAACATTGTTGACCATACCTAGAAAATCTTTTTTATTCAAAATCCATTCACCTTATCTACTTTACTATCGGTAGAAAAATAAAACTTCTTCGTTTCATAGAATGCTTTTGCTTGCATGTGCATCTGACGCATTTCGTTCGCTTCGTTGACATTTCACAGCTTTTGATAACTGTTAAATAAACACAAAACATACAAAAAGAATGAAAAGACGGCATTGAATGTTAGTTTGTTGATATTTTTTTCTCGCCAATACGGATGGTTTCTTGACAGCGCTTTGATTTGTATTCCAATACTGTTTCTTACATTCTTTCTCTTTATTTCATCTAAAGTTTGAAACGATTTATGGACTTTTATAAAAGAGAAAAATAACACTATAATATCATGGTCTGTGTAAAATACTTGTGAAAATGGAAAATGATGAAAAAAAGTGCGATATTTGCAGTTCATGCGTGGAAACACTTTTTGAACGAGTTAATTTTCTCCATGGTTGGCTTGCAACTTTTTCGACACCTCTGTATATGGGTGATTTTTATTCATCGTGTGAAAATAGTAATTTCAATGCAAACTAATTATTTCTTCAACGTCCATTTTGGCTTGAATAGAACGAAATGCGTCCATTCAGTGATGGTTTTCAATTTCAATAGATCATTTTCTCTCTTTTTTTGAACAAACGATTCCAATTAATTTTTGATCACCTTTTTTTCTGTCCAAACAGTGACATTTTTTGCGATGTTACAATAAACCAGTGATTGATTTACATTACGCACAAAATTTATAATGAACAAAACAAAATCTGCTACTGATCTTTTGCTCGGTACACGAGACACGATAAATATTGTTTCTTTTTTTACCATCGCATACACTGCGCTGCCGCTGTTGCTGTGATTTGATCATTCTATAGCTTATAACACTGTAGCAAAACACGTTTTTTTTCTCAATTTCGTTGCATGCAATTTTGCAGAAAAGTATAGAACGAGCGAAATGGAATGAGAGTGAGAGAGTAAAAAACAACAGCAGCTAACTTTCTTTCCGTTGAAATCATGTTGGAATGCTTTTTCGATGTTAAAGTTGCTGCTTTAAACAAAAGACCCCGTTTTTTCCATTTTTTTTGTTTCTAATAGTAAATTTGCTGTGTGCATTTGTGCATAGCTTGTGGGTGGTATAAAATCTCGAACAAAAGTCGGAACTCATCGAATTGATTGGGAGTCATTTGTTCGATTTGTGTTGGAATGAGACTACATGTGCCTCCCATTCGTGACAAAGAAAAACTGCTTCTTGAAAATATGCACAGTTTGTGGAAATGTGACATTTTGTTCGTCTGTTTCGAGTCGAATGATAAGAGAAAAAAAAAACGAGATGAGAACATAAAAAAGAAAATGCCACTGCAAATATCTTAAGAAATTTTAGTGGATTGAAAATTCAGCAGCGAAGCACCGAAGAGAAGAAACTGTCAGATCGATTCAAATGCGTTATTGGCTGAATGATATCGAGACAAGAACGACAATAGCTTATCTATCATCTAACTATCTGCTCGATTAAATGCTTTGGTGCTTTCTTCTTTTCACAAATCTTGTGTTGGATGCCAAAAAATTTCAATCAGATTATTTTCCTCTCAGTTGCTCTGCGATTTTTTTTCTCTCGCAGCGAGTGAGATAGAAGAAAAAAACGAATACACAAACAAGTAAAAAAAGGATGAATCGCTTTGATTATGCAGAAAATAAAACAAAACAGATTCATGTTTGTAATATTTATGTAGCCAAGTGCAGCGCTATTCTACACCAACAAAATTGAGAGAGTAATCACGCTCTATTTCTCTCTCTCTCTATTTCTCTATCTTTTTGTTTGTCATCTACATTGACACATTCAAAGTGTGAGTGGGTGTAAGAATACGAACATTTTGTTAACATTGTTTTTTTTTTAGAAAACTTTATACCAATGGAAGATTTGCTTCAGCTTTGTTGGATTATTTCATGTCAACGAACTCAAGAGAAATCAAGAGATAGAGAAATAACCAAATTGTATATTCGATACAATTGTATGTCATTTGCATCGATGTGGATATAGATTTATTTTTTTCTCCAAAGTTCTCGTTCTTCGTTCTTGTTTCGATTTTTCTTTTATTTTTGTTTTAAAGTTTACTTGTCTTCGTCAAAACTACCTCTCTCACTCTATTAGATATCATATTTGTACTTTAGATTTTTGGAGAAATGATGATATTTATGAAATATTGTTATCTCTTTCGAATTCTTCTATTTTTATTCGTAGAATCAAGCGTATCCATCTGCGACTGCTCTTTTTTTCGCAATTCAATAATTCGTCAAATTTATTCGGATTGTGGCATTCATTTTCAGCTATTTAGACAAATATCAGCGAATTTGTACAACAATTGAATTTTCCATTCATTTTACGTTATTGTTTTGCCACTGTTTAACGAACTAATCTTACAGTTTCTTTAAAACAATAGCAGACAAGTAGAAGATGAATAAACAAGAAAAACTTCAAACCAACTGAATAAAAAGCATCTGCGTTGCAATATTCGACCAATGAAAATTCAGCATTTTCAAGCAAGAAAAAAAACGTCAGCACGAAAAATGCACCAGCAACAATTTTACAATGAAACTCAAAGTTTTCCACACACAAAAAAAAACAGCCAACGAACATAATAACCATCCGGTAATGTTTGTGCTTGATGCATTTGCTACGTCATTTTATGGAGAAGAACGAAAATAATTGAATATCGAACGAAATAGTGAGGTAGACAGAGAATGCCGAAGAACATCTATTGAAAAGTTGATATTTGACTCTTCGCGAACCATCACAGTCCTGATGCTTCTTGGAACATTTTCAACAAAATTTTTGGCAACCAATGATTTATTTCATTTCAATGGCCCACTAAGTGATTTTCCTGAATAAAACTTAATTATCTTCGATTTGTTCGTTAGCAGTTTTTATTTCATTGCTTTAATAACAGTAATTACCACATTCAATTGAACATACAACAGCGTTGCTACATATATTGTACAAAATAGCACATATGTATTGTAAGCGGCAGAGAGCATCATTGAAATATAGATATTCATTACAAAGAAACTTTTTCCAAAGAAGGTAAATTAATGAAATCTTGAATGATGAATGGAAATTAAAAAACAAGAATTTTGCTTATTTAGAGAATCAAAGAAATTGTATTTGTCTGTCCACATTTGAGGTTAGTCCATTTTAAATTGAGGAATGATCTTTAAAATGCGGCGGATGTCATTCAAAATTGATAGTAATTTGGTTGAGATCTTTACACCTTTCTGTCTTAATCTGACTTGGAATTTATTTTGAGTTATAAACAAAATAAGTGGCTTATGAAATCGATTAACACACCAAAAGTGTGTTAATTAACACACCAAATAAACAGAATTAATTAATCTAATATACAGGTTGGAATTTCTCGTTTTTTATTTTATTCCAAGTATTGTTTCTGCTTGATGATCATCTTCTATTTTCATTTACGAAAATTTTGAGATAGATAGATTTATTATTATTTTTATTCAGAATTTATTTCAAAACCACAGTCAAATCCTTTTGCCTGAGATATATACTTCAACCATTAGCTAAACAGTTCAAGTAGTATTCATCAATTCAATTGCGGTTCAAATTTTAATCTGTATATCCATACTGCAAATCTTTGTTCAAAGATGCTTTTTTTCCAGTTTCACAATATTTCACGAAAGTGGTGTTGTGGGCTAGTCTGTTATGTTAAAAGTCAATAGATAGTGCGTGCTTGTGTGTTCATTTTTCTTTATTCATTATACATGTATTGACTAATTATCTATAATAAAAACAATGCTAATTGTCTATCAAATTAAAATGTGAGAGGCTAAGATTGTTGTCACTTTGCACTGCAATTATATCATCGATAGACAACCGGAATAACAATAGCGTTTGACTTGATGTGTCACCGATACACAATTGATACTCTTCACTCATCTTGAAAATAAAACAACTCAGATTCATTTCTATTCTAATTCATCGTGCCTACTTAATTAGTATTTTTTTTTGACTAAATGTGTCTGTTCCCGCTGCGTGTCTCTGCGTATGTGTGTTTCTGTATATGGGATAGATGTCTTTGGTTTTCATTCATTCACTCAATGCGAATGAACAGTCATTGATTTTCGATTTTTCTTCAAGCACATGCTGATCCCTTTGCAACAAAATATTGCGCTTAACAATGATGCAAGCAATAGCAATGGAATTTTTACAGCCAACGAATTCAAATTAAATTCACGCGTTTGCCAATGTACACTATACTTTTCGAATATGTCATTCCAAAATTCGATGCGCTTTCGATTCGGATTGATTTTTGCAATAATACCATGATTTGTTATATCTAAATAATGGTATGGATCGACATCGGTTGCATTTCGTTTTTGGAATAAATTTGGATTGGCATCCGGCAATGGATTTCTACAGAATGACAAGAGAAAAAAAAAACGAGAAAATATGGAAAATCAAATTACTTCAAATCGTATTAATACTTATTGATTCGAAAAACTTACGAAAACTTTGCAAAGTTTGCATAAAAATCGGTCAATTTATCGATTATTTTGCGTTCGAAGGAATCTTCGGCAAGATTTTCATACGATGATTCCGGAAGTAAATGTTGGCCACTCAATCTACGTGAATGATGGGGATAAAAAGAGGCAATTTCGGTAATTAGTTGAGCGCATTATAATAATTACCCAAAATGAGTATATTATTGGAATAAAATTAAGTTTCATAGAAAACAAGCCGCTGTCGTCGCCGATTCCAGGATATATATGGTCAATTTACCGGAATAAATATGGCAGCTGATCAAAATGATTAGAAAAATTGAAGTTGAATGCAAATTTCCGGCCTTTACGACTACTTAAATTCCAGTCACTCTTCACGGAAAATCTGAAAGTCAACCCATTTCGAAAAGTATGCATTAATAAGTAATTTAATGCACTCACAATGATGTAATACAATTGTAAATGGCATACAAAAGGCATTCGTATCCCATGCGGACTATTACTCACGTTGAAAAGTATGTGTGTCCTGTCGTTCTGTTGGCGTGTATGCGTGCATTTAAGTCAATACCGTATAAGAACCAAACGTCGGTCATCAACTGTTGAAATCCGGTTATTGTGTCATTGTCAACGCGATTCCCTTTAAAATACAATTCTCGCACTTTTGTCGACATTTCTTTGTATTCCTAATTAAATGAAGCGCACAATAAATGAGATTGTAATGGACTTTGTAATTTATTTTCGAAAATAGTGACAGACTGAAAGAGATGGCGGTATTACCTTCGAATGAAATTTAAGTTTGGCATTTCGTAGCGGTAACTGTAACTCGAATATTTCATCAAACGGCTTCAACAAGGCCGGATTTTTGAGCTCTTCAATGAATTCGCCGTACATTTCCTGTCCAAAGAAAACGAACATGTTTTTAGTTCGATGATGATATAATATTTTCAATTTTTTTGTAATTATAGCGGAAACGCTGTTTTTTTTTTTCATAAAACTATAATTATTCTCACCTCGAACGTGCAACCAAATAATGCGTTCACATTAGTTTTGTAATTGTCATCAGTGAGAATGTCAAATGGTGTTTTGTCAATGAATTTATCAACCGCATGCGGATCTGAAATGTTTATTTGATACTCATTCGTCGGTATGATTCGTAATGCATTTAAAATTGTGCGAATGATTTCTCTTACGTTCAACGGCAGTAGCCCAAATTAAATTGGCCATTCGACGACCGAATCCAGGATTGCTAAAATCTTGATGGGTGCGTTTTGTTAACAGTTTTCCATCAATTTGGCGTAAAAATTCCAATAGATCTCGATTATTATCGACGGGATAATGAAGACTTTCGGCCAAATTGTATAAAAGTGTCAAGTGATCTTTAACTCTGGGTATTGATGGATTGAGCGCTGAACCGCTCAACATAATCGCATTCTCAAATAATCCCACTGATGCTGGTGAAATCATATGCAAGCTTACACTTATCGCACCTATGAAATGAACATTTAATTTCCATTTTGAAATGTTGACGGTTTTCATTGGTACTACACACGCTCATTTACCTGAATCATGTCCTAAGAGCGTTGTTTTTCCACCGCCGCCAAATTGTATAATATTTTTGTCGACCCATTTGAGTGCGAGTACTTGGTCTTTGTGGCCCATATTGCCGGCATAATCCGGTAAATTCAACGACATGAAACCAATCGGTCCCAAGCGATAGTTGAATGTTACCTGTCAAATACACAACGACCGCATACCAAAACAGAAAATTTATTCAAGTGAGAAAAATAGACGTTGACGCTTGTTTGTCGGATGATTCAAAATTATACAGAATTGTCAGAGAAAGAGAGAGATATATGTATATATATAGAGAAAGAGAGAGTGTGGATGAAAAGAAAATTGCATAACACTCACGACGATCACATCTTTTTCAATAAAAAAATCGGGTCCATAATGTTGTGCGCTGCCTGATTGAAATGCTTCTCCCATGACATATACAATCACTGAGAAATTACCATCGTTTGCCTGTTCAATGGCTTCTACTGGTGCGTACACATTAAGGTACAAACAATCTTCGTTACCAAAAACCTCATTCGTTTGAAAATTGAATTGCGTACAATCGTTGGAAAAGTCGAATGCATCACGCGGATCAATCCAGTGTGCGACTTTTTTTGGTGCCTGTAAAAAGATAGATGTGCAAATGTTAAATGTGTATCTGTATATAATGCATATTATATCAAAAGAAAATCATGTAAAATGCCAAAATCGTGAATCCACATCATCAACATAGACGTATGAAAGAAACGAGATGTAAATCCAGACGAAATTGGCAAATGACGAAATTATGTCACATGATTTGGCGCACACATACGCCACGCATCCCATATTCACATCCAAAATGTAATGAATATCTAAAATAGAGCGATTGCGCTTACCTTGAAACGTAAATCTTTTGTTGGTGGATGAGCATATGGAATGCCACGAAATGAATAGTACGGTTTTTCATTGTAAAGGGTTAAACTACGTTTTCCACGAATTCGACCACTTTCAATATCAACTTCGACCACATCAGCATCACCATTTACTACACTATTTATCAATGCCAACCATAATGGCATGACCACCGCAAATGTGAACGCATACCACCACATTTTATACCATCGTTGATAAATCATCGCTTTTAATCAACATAAAACGCACTTACACCGTATTTCACTATGCACCACAATCATTCAACTCGCAAATTGTTTTGAATATGAATTTTTATTTTATTCTATCGACATACGGCTGTCTGACGGCCTGTCTATCTGTCTGTTATTTTGTATTGTGCACGTTTCTTCTTTCGAATATCACTCTTTATCTCATTTACAGATTTTTTTTTTTATTTCGCGATTTCAGTTCAATCGACTGATATTTCACAACTGAATGCTGTGTGTGCGAATTCTCATTCTACCTCATGAACACTGAATGGTTACACGATGATTTCGAAATATTTTGTAGCTTGGTTTTCATCTCTCTCTTTTTCTGTCTCTTTTATTATTATTTATTAATTTTTTTTTTGTCAATTTACGGGACAGTGTCACGCGTTTCTGTGACTTTTGTTCGTTAATTTGGCTTTGTTCGTTCCGGCACGCTATAATTTAGTTTTTACTGTGCAACTATTATCTGGTTTAATAATACCGTTTTTTTTTAAATGCTACTGTTGTACGGCGTTATTGTTGTTGCTACTGTTTTCATCTCACTCATTTAGTTCGGCTACTGATTATGGCAAAATGACAACGTGTTCACGTTGAGTGGTTTTAAAAGGGATAAACAGATTCATTTGCAGTTTGAAACTTGGAATTTGTTTCATTGTCGTCGTGTAATAACAAACTCTTTTTTGTAATACATTTGTCTGCTGACTATAAATACAATAAATAAATTAAGAGATCGGACGTTGAAAATCAAACGAAAGACACTCTTTATGCATCTCTCTCTCTATATATATATCTATCTGTGTGCATTATATTATGTGTGTCGATAACATGCATCATTTATCTGGGAAACGATAGATAAAAAAAACCATCAAACCGCTCTCGTCATCGACACAAAAGCTCGTTTTAAATTGTGAAAATATGATGTCGCATGATTTAAATGATTCTGTTTTAGATGCATGCTTTTTTATCGGAACCATTTTTTTTCTGCGGAATCATGTAATTTAACGTCGGTCATATCTGTCATTTACATAGTTCCATTTGATCGCACACAAAAAGAGGAAGAATTTGAGTGCGAATAGAAGAGTTAAACAGATAGAGAGCGAAAGTGGACGAAAGAAACAGAGAAAGAGAAAGAGAAAGCAAGAAAGCAAGATAAAAAAATTGAAGATTTAGCTTCCCGTCGGTTTGCAGAAAATTGATGTCCATCGGATGTTCCATTAAAAAAAATACATACTTGTGCATGCTATGTTTTGTAATCCATGAGTGATGTAAAATAACGCTTTATTTTCACAAAACCGTACATCTTTCATACTATGTGTTCGCATTGTGAATTCAAAATTCGTTTGGAAATACCAATTCGAATGTATTTTCGAAAAGTGTGCATGTAGATATGTTGCTTTTGAGTGGATGACAGAATAGATTTCATTATTCATGATTTTATGAGAGAGATTTTGCCACTTCTCTACGCTTGACGAGTTCTACAGGCGCTATATGAAAACCGTCCGATCATTAGCATACAATTGGGTTGTAATACACACACATATACCTCAGCAATATGAAGACTTATGAATTGCCGTTTTTGCATTTGGAAATGATTCAACCGATTTTTCGGAGCAGACGGGTGATTTTATTTGGTTCAGAAACAGCGTCATACCGTGTGCGCTTCAATAAAATTATGGCAATGAGTGCAATAACAATAATAATAATGAGATGAAATTTCGAAATTGCGGCATATGATGGATTATGACGACATTAAAATATTAAGCCGAACTCCACTTGTTTGTTCCGTAATTCATAATGGAAATGATTTTTTATTTACATTTTCACTCTTCTCCATACGCCCAATAAAATGAATGACCATATTGTTTGAATGATAAGAATTTTATTGATTTTTGTTTGTCATTTGAGCCGGTCTATTTACAAACAAAATTAAAACTAAATTCAAAATTGAACATTTTACGCACAATATTAAATGACACTCTATTTTAATTGAGAAAATTATTAAAAACTGTCGATTCGAGAAAAAAAAAATGAACATTATATATTGCGTTGCCGACCGCCCATTTATTCAAATGCAAAGAAATTTACTCATAGATTATTGTCACTTCAATGTTTATTCATTGAGGACAAGCACTTTGAAGTTTTGACCATCTTTTTCGGCTAGGGGATCGGATCTCGATCAGAAAATAGCGAATTATTCGATATTTTGCGAATTTTATGCGAAATGATTTGTAAGCGATGGGCCAGTAAAGTTGTGATTTAAAAAACAATTCGCAAACAAAACGCTATGAACGTGAGACAATTCGCAAAATTTGTATGTTTTGTATGTATCAAATTGTGAACGCTTGTAAACGAGCCAAGTGAATAGCGACAACGAACGAAAGAAAAAATGTTATCCGTTGCCGCTATTCACTCACTTCGTTTTCTTGCGTCGCCGCTAATCACTTGGTTCGTTTGCAAGTGTATATTATATAGTTTGATTGTGATAACTTTTTGCGAATAGCTTGCGAATTGTATGCGAATTTTTTGATTTATTTTACTAAAATGACGACTTTATCATTGAACTAATAAATTTTGTCCATTCGCGAATAGATCATTTCCCCTAGTTTTTCGGTGCCCGTGTGCCTTTCTCACCCGGACGATTGATATCGTGCAGACATCTATTTATACAAATGACATTCGCACATATCGCTCACACTTCAACACATTGTTTCTGTTTATGCACCAACGACGATGACTTCCATTTACATAATTAAAATATTTTCTTTTCTTCACATCTCTTACGCTTTTGATAATCTCAGTTTAAGTGCTGTTATCTTCAAATTATTAAGATGGAAACAAGAACAAACTTAAAAAAAGAACTTCTTATTTTTCTCAATGGTGGTCAAAGGGAATCAAAAAAAAAATCAACTCTCTTCTCATTTCATTTAGATTGATGATGAGGTACAAGTGCAAAAAGGGTTTGAACATTCATGCTTTCGGTTATCTTTTATGAAAACATTTACATTCGTGTAATCCTTTGAAATGTTTGAATGCTGAGAATTGACATGGTGCTTATGATTGCCAATTCATTTTATACATTTCTTATACACAACAAGCATCTGATGATATTTCGGCGAAAAACTTTGACGCAGTTTTTTCTTCTCTTCTTCTTGGTTGTAACCATTCTTTTGTTATTATAATTTTTAACTGAGTCAGCATGATTCTTGGTATTTGTGCGTGCCCCGATGAAATGGAGCAGTGATACACCAAAACTTTGTAACCGCCCCTCCACCCCAACAAAAAAACGGCAACATTTTAGATTATGACACGGATTAGATAAATGAAATGGTGAACAATTTCCATTCATTTAAAATGATAGAATAAAGTAAGGTAGACAAGAGCTATACAACGCTGAATAATATAACTTTGTATGAACCTATCAAAGAAAATATCATATATTTAATGAATTCTTCAACATGTCTAAAAAAATGTTAACATAAACTCTTCAAATTTTTTAGGATTCGACAGTATTATGTAATATTGAAGTAATTCAATTTGTCAATTAAACGCAATTAATGTAATCAATGCACTTGCACATAAAATGCTTAAACTAATTTCACGCCACGATAATTGTGATAGAGAAGTTGAGTTGAGTGAGTGATTCAAAAATCGGATTAAACTTTGAGTGCCTGACAGAAGTGTTTTCGTTGATGGCAACCAAAATTCAGCACAAACTTTTTTCCTCACTTTGTGTCACAAACTTTTTTTCAACTCTCTATTTTCACATAAGAATTTTTTGTTTTGGTGTCGGTTCCATTGAAACACATAAAATTAAATTCGAATTTTTCACCCTTTTCATTTACAAACGAAAATTTTGTTGTCATCATGCTCATTTTTATTTCACTTATTTCTCTCTCTCTCTCCTTAACAGATGAAAACAATTCATTTTCACAAACAATTCCGGATAAACCCATAGAACTTCATCATTTTGTTAAACTTTGTGAACAACGCCGGAAGTTTCGCGTTCTCTACAAATTAGAATTTCAAGTAAGTTTTGTTGCCTGTTCGTGTGCTTTATTTGAATACACTTAATTTTTTTTTTATTAGATTTTTGGCTGTCGCATTTTATAAATTGCGACACAAAAAAGGCTGAATCACAATTTTATGGCATTATCTCGATGATTACCTCATTTTGTAATATGATTATATTAAAAAAATGGAACAAGAGAAAAAGAGGCGAATAACTTTTTTTCTGATTTAATGTATGCCTTCAAATGCCATAAAATTGGAACACTTTAAAACGCATTTACCGATAGCATTTTTCATTATTATTTTTTTTCTTGAAGAAAGTTAGTTTCTGAAGAGTTGTCTATTATACAAATATTTTGCTCTAGAACTATCCGTTTTTCTTCTTTTTTAACGCTTATTTTCCTATTCTTTTGTTGTCATCGCCGTCGCCGCCGTCGTCTTTGTCTTTTGATTGTCATGGTGTGTAGACCGCTGTTAAAGTGGAAACAAACTCGTGTCGGCACGCATTGCGAAAAAATAATGAACAGAAAAATCAAAACCAAAAGTGCATTCCATATGATTATAATCGTGTAGTATTGGACAAATTAGATGGTGTTCCTGATTCCGATTACGTAAATGCCTCTTATGTTGATGTAAGTACCACATTTAACAAATAACAAAAACTAACTCTTGATCGCAAATGCGTTACATTTTTTTTATTGACGGAGCTTAAGTTTCCGCTTGAATTAATCGATTTCTTTTACATTTTTCGTTTCTCTTTTGTATTATGTAGAGCCTTTTAAAACCAAACGCTTATATAGTAACGCAGGGTCCAACTGAAGAAACGGTCAATGATTTTTGGCGAATGGTTTGGCAGGAGAATGTTAGTATATCTTATAAATACCTTTCAATTAAAGAAATTCTTCTTGTAAATTTCTACTATATTTATGTTTGACAGTCAACTAGGCGTGTCGTTCTTTGAAATTTTCATAAAATAGATTCGAAAATTCATTTGAAAACCTATAATATTTATATATTTTCTATTCCAGGTTAGTGCGATTATAATGCTAACAAAAACATTCGATTTCACAAAGGTAATGCGAATAACAATAAAAAAAATAGGTGGCGAATATTAGTTTTAGTGAAGAGGAAAAGTGTCGATCGAGTAGTTCACAAGATTAAAAGTATTTTTTTTTAGATAAACAGAAGAATGTGTATTTGCCAGACTACAAGCGCGCACAACACGTCAAAAATGTTTTTTTTTGTTATTCAATGCGTGCTTTTCGTGAAGAAATGGTTGAATTCAATCAATAAGTCACTAGTCCAAAGTCACAACCGTATGAAATTTAAAAATAAACAAACGAACTGAGAGAATGGGTCGCTCTAAGAAGATAAAAGCTCCGATGTTCATATTTGAAATGGTCGTTTTTATCATACCCTTCTTCTTCGCACATTCTTTTTCAAATAAAAAAAAAACATGTTCAAAAGCCAAAAAATGCACTCTCTTTCTGCCACTCGCTTTGTATAAACTTTGATATGAGATTGAATACAAAAAAAAATACCACAAGATTTGACTTTCAGTAGTTTTTGATATGGTTACGTTTCCGGAATTTCATTTTAAAGTTGAATTTTCAATTGTCAATGTGTGCGCTTGTATATAATATATATGTAAGCGTGTCTTTGATGAACGTGAGCAATGGGACGAAAGAGTGTGATACGCTGAATTTTTAGTGTTGAGTGCATCACAAAAATGCGAACATATTATAAAATACAAAAAAAAACGACTGGAAAAATCCACCAGAATCTTATGGCGAAGGAATTTATCGCAACTACTCAAATAAACCATAAAGTTTCTAGTTTGTTGACTGAAAAAATACACATTCAATGTGAACCAAGTAACAATGAGTCTCTTTTTATTTGACTTTTTTTTCCATTCTTTTTCTTGTCGTTGTCGACAATGTCGTTTTGAAATCATACTTCAAATTCCATTTTATAGTTCAATTAATTCTGAGGACGTTTTCAAGCGTTAAACTTAATAATTTTTCTCTGTCTTCTTTTTTTGGTTGTTATTATTTTGTGTTCTGCGATATTATCAAATTGGTAACATACAAAATAAATTAACACACGTAGGTGATGTGCATACAATATTGGCCACCGTCACTTGATAAAACCGAAGTGTATGGCGATATTCATATTGGCATCGTTGCAGAAGAACAATTAGCTAATTTTCAAATTCGCACATTCAGGATATGGAAGGAGAATCTTGATGTAAGTGATATTGGCTTGTGTGTAAAATGTATGTACTGAATGACAAATGTTCATTATGTGTGCATTCATTTTCCATTTCGTCCATTTTTCGTTAGTTATTTTTTTTCTTTCTTCATTTCAATTTAATTAGGTCTTGTTGGTACGTTTGTATGCATCTTTTATAAATCTGTATTTTTTGTTTTTTTCTTTTCTTTTCTCTTTCCATTTCTTCGATTTGCTTTTTGGACCGATTTTCTAGGGCGCCATCACCGAAGAACGTCAGATACTACAGTTTCACTATACGGAATGGCATTCGCATACGAACCCATTTTCGAATGCTGTTCTCGAATTTCGTCGTCGTGTTCGTGCTGTTGTTGGTAACATTATAACAGCAAACAGTTTAGTTGGCCCAATGCTGGTGCATTGCAAGTAAGCAATATCAACCACATTCTATGGATGTGTAGAAAAATCTTTTATTGTTATTTCCAATGGAGTTTTTTTTTCTGTTCGTTTCGTTGTTTAAATTTCCAATCGTCTGCTGGGCTTGCAAAGCGTGTTATTCACTTTACGATTTTATCGTATTCTGTCACATTTCGACGGGAGAGTGAATTGCGCGAGTTGTGTGTGTGTGTTGAAAATATTGTCTTCAGCAAACGTTGAAGAGCAACGAACAAACGAGAAGAAGAAAAAAAAACCAACCAAACCAAAGCCAAAGAGAGCTTTACTTTTTCCAAATTCCTTGTGCATGATGTTGCTGTCTCTCGCTGTGTACAAACAGACTGTGAGCGTGCGGCCATGATTTTTCGTTTTCATCTTCTCACGTTGTGTGTGAGTGTGTCTGTATTTCTTCTTTCTTGGCACAACGTGCATACTAAGCGATTTATAGCTTTATGACACTCACTTTCCATTGTTTCACTTTGTGAATGTATGTAAGAATCTCTTTTTTTTTTCGTGTGTCGTTGCTCATCGTTTTGGCGTTTTCGTTTCTTTTGCTTTCGATAGCGATGGCGGCGGTCGGTCTGGTGTTTATTTAGCAATCGATGCGAACATGGAATTGGCTGAGGAAGAGGACTGCTTTCACGTTTTTGGCTATCTAAAAAAGTTGCGACAATCGCGTAAAGGCCTTATCGAAAATGTGGTAAGTAGGACATATGAAAATATACCTTTCACCCTCATCAAAACATAAAAACACACTCAATCAGCAGCGGTTACGCATAATGATGATTATTTTGTTTTTGTTTCGTTTCTCTCGTTCTTGCTTGGTTATTATGCAAATTATTTAGGACCAATATAAATTCGTATACGATACATTAGAGGAGCATATAAAATGTGGACGAACATGGTTTCCCGTATCAGAATTGTCGGAACGATTAAAGGCAAAAGCACGTAAAGATACCGTCACTAAAATGAACGAATATCAAAAAGAATATGCACAAATTTGCAAACAAACACCCAGGTAAACAACACGTCACGGCATATTTCGCGTATGCTTTACTTCCCAACTGCTAATATTTACGTGTTCATGTGAACAAAAAAACAACAACAAAAAACCATGCTAATTAAATTGTTATTTCGTTTTGTTTCCCTTGACTCTCATTGCAATCAACAAAATTAGATTTACAATTGGCGATTGTGCCGGTGGACATCGAGCTGATAATCGAGAAAAGAATCGGGATGTTTTGTGTGTGCCACGTAAGTTTGAATTGTATCATTTTTATGGTCAAAATGTTGGGAATTCATCTTTATTATATTTATTCGATTAATGCAATGCTATTTTTGCTTTTTCTTTTTGCACATTTTTCGGCAATTCAATAGCTGATAATTTTCGTCCATATTTGACATCGTTTCAAGGGAACGCTTTTACCGATTATATAAATGCCGTTTTTGTTGATGTAAGTATATTTTGTCGCCGTTTCGATAATGGAATTGCTACGGCATTGAATAGCACACTAATTTTGATCAAATCATAAAGAGTACCAATGGGTGCGCATAAATGATTAAATAGTTTAAGCTTATAATGACATTAAATTGAATATGAAAACGATAACAACACCATATCAATTGAACGACAAAATAACATTGGCAACGTTGTCATTGAAATTAGAGAGGAAATTAAAGCAAATTAATTAACAAATGGAAACACGGCATATCTGCTTCCAACATATGACACTGGTTTTGAAATTTCACAAATATAAATCAATTTCAATAAAATAAATACTCGAATGAAATTGTTTTATAATAACCAACAAATAGAAGTACCACCGGAAAAGAAGTTTGAACAGCATTGATAAAATTGCGTTGCTAATATATGGTTTTCTCTGGAGTTCAGCGATGTCCAAAACATTTTTTTTCAAATTTTAGACAAACATCCATCGTACGGGTTAAAAATTAAATTGAAATTTGGGCTCACATCGACCATTGTAGAAGCAAAAACATTATTTATAGGTCGCCAAATTGTATCGTAAGAAAGGAGTAACTACCACACACAATTATATAGCACAAATATATATTTAAAAACGATGCAAAAGAATCTGTCACTTGGTTTGCATCTAATCGTCCAATTTTTGCTACTATATTTTACATATTTTCAATAAAATATGAAAAAAATGTGCTAGTTTGGTTTTGTAAAGAATTTTTCAATGAAAAAACTCGTACATTTTAGTTGTATTTGTTCCAAAAAAAAAAATTAGTGAATTTCATTCTGAATACAAATTGCACAGATGCCTTTTTCCCGGACAATTTGGGTTGAATATTCTTGCCGCTTATTGTATCAATCCTTTCATTATTACGCAAGCATGCACATCAAAATATATGGATGCGTAACAGTATCGATCGGAATGGAAGTGAGGGAGGGAGCGAGCAAGAGTAATAGAGAGAGAGAGAGAGATAAAGAGCGTACGAGAAGAATGGAAGAGCAATGAATAGTGGCAGAAAAAGCTCATGAAGAGAACATTTCGAAATTATTGAAAACTTTTTCCCATTGTATACAATTAAATGAATTTTAATCCGTTTAGAGTGGATATTTTTATCTACTTTCAATGGAAGCGATCCAGTTGTTTGTGTGCTCGTAGCGAGTCGCATTTCGACCGCACATTTTCAACAGAGAAAAAAAAACGAGAATTACAACATGTGTTTCTGTTAACCTATTTTGGTTGCGCTATCCCGATTTCTTTCAATGCTTTTCAACGCTATATACATGCTCATTTACCTGTATTTCTCGATTTTTCAATTACAGGGCTATACAAAGCCGCGCGAGTATATTGTCACCGAGTGGCCATTGAAACATACTGTAGGCGAATTTTGGTCACTTGTATACGATCAGGAGTGTTCAGCTGTCGTGGTTTTATGTCAACCACCACCGAATTCGGTTTGTATATTCAAAGCACTGCACAAATGCTCACGCTCATACATACACACATGTCACCATCATCGAACATCATTATCCCATTTACTCGTTCCCTTTTTTATTGACACCCATCCACGAGACGAAGAGTAGTCACTATTTTGGTTTGGAAATTAAAATCACATAACATTTTATATGAATCAATCAGCATGGAAATGACCTCAAAAACAAAAACAATTTTGTATTTATTAAAAAAAGAAAATGAAATTAATAATCAAGTGGATCTTTCTAATTGAGTTCAGCTTAGTTTGTTTTATTATTTTCCTTCTTAGTTCCTTTTGGATTCTTCTTTTGCGAGATTTTTATGGTCATGTTTCATTCTAATTGATTCATGCACGGGTCCATATTTAAATCATGTCTCTTTTAAAAATCTTCAAACGAATTATTGGTGGACATGGGCTCTTGTTTCATTTATTAAAATGAACACTTTTTCAAGTGTTATATTCAATAATATCACGAATGGAATAATCGTTGGAAAAATCAAAGCGGTTTATTGAATATGAATAGTTTTTTCATAATTGTATACATAAACACTTCATTATTCGTTCCTCATATCGTATTTGGCTCGAAAAACAATAACGAATCATTTTAAAATTGAATTTTCCGTTCTTTTCAATTTGTTTTTTTTTTTTTTCATTTATGTAGCAAGCATATCCATCGTTTTGGCCGGAGAAAAGTAAAATGGAAAAATATGGTCCAGTTTTTTCGGTGCATTCAGTTTCGCGTAAACATTATCAAAATATCAAACAATGGGAGTATAAAATAAATAAAAAGGTACGTTATTTTACATTGAAATTCATGTTATATTTAACACGTTGATACGAAAAAGAAAGTATTGAGCTGATGACTCTTTCATGAAAAATCAAATTCATATTTGTTGATAATGTGATGGATTTAACATTGGCCAAGAATTAAGTTAAACTGTTGCCAGTTGTTGTTTCTTAGCGCTGTTTGTTTATGCTAACGAAGCGCATTCGTTTGAGACATAGCACAAGCGTTGACAACTTTGTATTAAAAATGGTTCACACTTCTATTGAGTTCATTATAATATGAATCTTCTATCTAAATAAAAGGAACAGAACATCGAATGAAATAAAGTTTCAACAACAGAAAAATAATTCATTTTACTACTGTATATATATGGATGTGATGTGTCGACATGGATGCAATAATTTTTGATCAATATCTCGAGTCACTTTGAAATAAGCCATTTAGAGTGTTTCCTTTTAGCGATGAAATCGAATTAAATTTCCACGCTGAATGGAAAATTGTCGATTGAATATATACATATCTACGGTATCATAGCATGAAAATTCGCAATTGCAAAACGCTCCATTTTTTTTAAACTTACATCATACATACCCACATATATGCTTGCCTATTTCGATAATATCGCCACTCTCGATATTCGTTCCAGCTGAATGGTATTCCGGTTCGGGGTTTCTTTTTTCGCCTTCTGCTACGTGATCAAGTAGCAAAGTACGAATTCTTATTCTATTCTGGTAATAGTAACCGTATAAAGCAATCCATATAAATTCGTATTTATTTCAATTTCAAAAGAGTGAAGAGTGAATCTCTTGATTTCATATGCTTCTTTTGCATCTATCAAGATGAACAATTCTCTTATTCGATTTGGGAAGCGTTTTTTTTAAATAGAGACTCCTTCTTGACGACGCCAAATATTTTGCGAATATAGGTTTGAACTTGATTTTCGTTTTGGTATGGTTTTTTTTAAATGCCAAATGATATGTTCATATTTCGAATGGGTGAAAGATATTGTCGGTTTTTGAACAAAATTTGGTTACAATGAAGATCTATATTAGGGTGGGGAAAATATTTTTTTTTAAAATAACTTCCCGTCTAAAACATTTAATATATATTTATAACACTATCCATTGTGGCATGAACTATCAAACCAGAATTGCACAAATGTGACGTAAGTGGAAAATTCAAACGACTATGTATTACTATCATGTAAGTAACACGAAAAAAATACAATATATCTTGGTGTGCAATTGTGTGTTAATGCTTTAAGTTAAGACTACAAAGGATAGTGCTATAAATATTTTACATGTTTTGAACAAAATCTTGAGGGGTCCATTTTGAAAATTTTAATCGATTCACCCTATATTCTATATGTATTTACGTGAATGTGCATCAAAATATACTAAAATATACTATGAATTTTGTTCCCATCGTTGGTTAACCAGAAGAGTTTTTCAGCGTTGGTATTTGATGAAATATCCATGCAATGTGCATGTTTTGCTATTGCGTAATTTGAATATTGATGTGTTTCAAGCGAAAATCAAAAATGGTACCATATAAACTCAAAATATCTAGATAAATTTATTTATCACATTTAAATTTGTCGTTGTTTTTTTGGTTGCCGTCGTCGTCGTCGTCGTTGAAAGATAGAAATTTTTGCCGAAACAAATTTTGTGTAGTGTGTCCCAGTGTTGGTTTGAAATGCGTCAAAAATGTATGATTTATGCACACTAATTTGATTCTATGTTTGAATATTTGCAGATAGTTTCGTTGACAGAATTGATGGCAGGTGTTAAGGCACCGACAAAAGTCGTACAACTATTTCAGCTAACGTGTTTTCCATTGGGTCACAAGGTAAGCGTATTATCTTTGCCGCATTTTTCTGTTTACTTTTCTCTACATTTTGGTAAGTAATTTTGTAGCGAAAAATTGCATTTCCACTTTCGCATTAAATCAATTAGATGGAATGACATTGAATAAATTATGCGGGATATCGTGGAGCGTTTCTTTCGGTAGGGCTTAAATTCGATTTATGTGTAACTGAAATTATGGACAAACGTTTCTCGTCGTTCGCTTATTTTGTTGCATCAACAAAAATGAGCATTAAAAATATTAATGATCATATCGATTTTGGAGTATGTATGTGTACACTTGAAAGTGAATGGGTTGCAATTAAATACACGATATAGAGCAATAGATCGTAAAGAATGTGAAAGTGGAAGTGAGCGAGTTAAAGCATATTGGCAATACTCTTCGCAAGAGGTGATGCTAAAGAAGATGTGCGCCACTTTATACCATTTTTCAATGCATGATGCATCGATAAAGCATGATATTATTTATCACAACTGCCAGTGTGTCGTTTATATTTGCTACCACTGGTCCCATTCAATTCAACCCAGTGATCGTGGTGATATCGATGCGCAAGTGATTCCTGTACATAGTATAAGGATTTTCATTCAGACAACCGGTGCCCTAGAGCGCACATCGATTTCTCTCATTTTTTTCGCTAGCTCACATATGCTTTAATGGAATACATTGAAAGTGTATGCTATCTATTGATGATGCAAGAAAAAATAAATTTATGGCCAATTTAAGCGCAAAAAAAACTATATGTTGAACATTGAATAAGGCAATATCATTAAATTTTATTGAGAAGCGCTTGGTATAGTGTGTGTGTGTGTGGGACCCGTGCCCGTTTGTCTTTATTTAAAAGCAAAAATGATGCACGATGGAAAATGCCGCGTCTTCAAAAAATGGTTTTATTGCATAGCAATATCTTCGAATGCATAAAACCATATGCCAATGGTGTCTGTCATCAACAACATCTCTCATTTGCCTATCTTCAATACATTTCTTCTTTCGCACGCACAATGCACAATAATAAATGATTTTCCAAATCACTTGAGCTGTATTCGAAAAAACAAACACTGATTGCGGGACTATTGAATTTTATTTTATTCACGAATGCATACTTGTGTTGTTATGCTATTTTATCTTTAAGTGACATCCGTTAAAGTATGGTTTAAAGACTCACAAAACTCGTCGATAAACATAACACAAAAAAAGAACAAGGAATACACGGATTGAAGAACATGGACGATACACAAAATCTCGAATGCATTGGATTAAAGTTTTAAGCAGAGGTTTTCACAACTATTTACCATTTATATGCTCACAATGTCGATGTGATAACATAAAATTTGTTGACTATTTAATCGTATATTTATATCACTTTTGCTTTGTTTTGTGGGTGGTTTGTCGCAAATGAGATACTGAGACCGATGCACAACCGTCTACTATCGAAATGGCTCGCTGGTGTTCAGCAACTATGAAATTTGCTCCAACATTAACACGCACGCACGCAGCAACACAATGCTCGAACACAATTAACAAGTTGAATTAAGTACACTTTTCTTTCAACTATAATTATAATCTTGGCAAATAATTATATTTCTCTGCACTCTGTTTTGAGAATCCGATACTATATTTTGTTGTTGATGTTGCTGTTACTTCTGCTTCAAATACAGCTGTGGCATTAGATGCATTATTCGATGGGAAAATATAATGAAACATTTAAATAACAAGCAAAATACACCTTGAAATTGGTTTTTGCATGTTGAAGGTTTGTGTGCTATTTTTCCATGCAAATTTCAGCAATGCATTCTCAATGCAATGTTTAACAGCTCACGAAACTCACAGACAACGAAAAAAAATGATTCCACTTTATTGAAATTTAATTGAGATTTATTTATTTTTTTAATGTTTGGCTGTTACTTTGTACAACTATAATTTCATTTTCAGGTACCAACATCGACAAATTCGTTGGTTGCGTTAATGAACATGGTTGAAAATTGGCGTGCAAAAACTGATTATGGACCTGTCTGCGTTGTCTCACCGTATGCATTTTTTTTGGCTTATGCTTTTTTATGGCTGTTACATTTAAATGACGCTTTGATTGTTTTCTTTTCAATAGCGATGGACGAAGTCGTGCTGGAGTTTATTGTGCGGCAAATGCATGCATCGAACAGGTGATACAACATGGTGAAGTCGATGTCTTTCAGGCTGTTAAAACTGTTCGACGACATCGACCCCAACTTATCGATAATATGGTGATGAATCAATCCATTCTCATGTGTAATTCGACGATTTTATTTTTCCCATTTACAATAAAAATGTTGTTCTTTATTTCAGACCGAATATAAATACTGCTATGACTTGGTATTACACTACGTCCTGCACTATTTAAATAAGGATTTGAAGGAGAAAAAGTGAGAAAACGAATTACACGACGGCCTGTGGTAAGTACATAAATCAATTCAGAACATATTCATTTCCCTTTTTCCGAATGGTTTTTTTTTTCATTTTTTTCAATTTCCATACTTTTTAAGTCTTTCAAAAGATTAAATTTCCCATTTCTGTTTGGCCATTAGGTTTATCGAATTCGGGAGGGGCAAAGCGATACCATTAACACCTGATTCATCGAATGCTGACCTACCCGGTGAAATATCGAACACAGGCAAAATTGTCGTGAAAAAACGTATTGCAAAAATTGAAAAAACCGATAGTATACAAGTATATGACAAAGAAAGTAATCGCATGGTAAATGGAAAAATGATGCAGCGCAAAAAGAAAGGTCGCTTGTACAGTTTAGGTGGTAATGAGCCACCAAAACGTGCAGCACGAGGACGATTGGATCGTCTTAAAACGGTTGGCACATTTGATTTGGGCAATGAGATGGTGTTAAATGAGGTGGCACAACATTTGAACGAACATATCAATTGTGATGCAATTGATGAAAATGGCGCTACACCAGAACGAATCCAAGCACGAAGAATGAGTGCAAATGCTTTATTGGCGAGTGGAGCAGTTGGTTTAGGTACTACAACTGAATCACCCATACCATTCTCGGCCGAACATAGATTGAGCTATACACCGGGTCCATGTCGACGTGAAATTCAAAAGGGTGGTCTGGCAAAAAGAATGGCCAGCCGCGATTCAAAGCATCCAAGTGGTTCGGCTACACCGTCGCCAAGTACACGAAGACTTCATACGGCAACACCGAATAATCAACCAAATGTGCCAACCCAACATTCGGCCGACGATTGCTTTGAAAAAACGAAACCATTTATCGATCACCGAAAATCACGAAGCTCAAGTACAAGCACAATTTTATGTCGGGTCGATGGCGATCCAAAATATTTTCAATCAGGTGCTGTATACAAGTCAAAATCACCAATAAAACATTTACCAGCAACAAATTTTATTAAAAAAAGCGATTACAAAACCCGACCGATGACCAAAAATGTGGAGAGTAATATTGATAAAACGCCAACACAAAGTGTTGACATTGAGTCAACATCAACAACGGCGACCGTTATGAGAAAAGACGACAATGGAATTGTTCATGAAACGGAAACCGTTGAGATGAAAGAGAGTGGACAGGAGAAGAATGAAAATTTTTTGGAAAAAGGTGAATCAGTTGAAACAGCTGCATCAGATAAAACTCAAACATCTGCCGACGATTCCATCACTCAAGAGGAAATAATGAACGAAGAATGTGCGTACAAGCCACGTAAACCAGTGTTAAGAAAATCCAAGCGAATTGTTCGAACCGATTCGGAACTATTTGACGAGGCTCATTTTGGTACAAGTGAAGAGGGTGGTGTGCAACAAACAACAACACGCGTTCAAATTCACAATGAACCATTGGTCTATGATGAGCCACAATCAAGTCAACCGCTAAATGTCCACCATGATGATCGAATGCGAAAAGAAAATGTTCAAAAAGTCGATGTACAAAAGGAGTCAAACGATTTGAGTGAAACATCAATGGTACGTGATCCATTGAAATCGACAACAACGAACAGTTCACGTAACATATCGGTCGATGAGGCGGACACCGTGTTCTCCGATTCGACAAACGACCTCGAGAAAATGGAACGAGACTATCGTGAATTGGCCAGATCAAATTTGCAACGTGAATACAAAAGTGATGGTGACACATTGGATGAAGTGGGTAAAAAGCGAAACGATTTTCAAAATTGGAAAAACCAAAGCTTTGAAACAAACTTTGAAAGCTATGGCCAACAATCATCGATAGGTGGAATTAGTCAAAGCGCTGATTACATGGAAGATCCGGATAAAATTGAAGTGCTGGAACGACGGGAAAGTTTTGGTGCTGTATTGAGTATTAGCGAAGATTTACCAAATGCTGACATTGATGGTGAAGTGATGCCAAATGCCAATTTATCAGGCATTTGTAGCCCAGCCAGTCATGTGACCTGCAGCACAACAAACAGTAGCGACACAAGCTGCGCAAAACGTATTAAGGAAATTGCGAATTTCTTTGCGCCTATCGGTACCAATTACTCCAAAGACAATCTATCACAACGTGAAAGTGATGGAAGTACATTAACCAGCCCATTGAAAATGGTAAATAGTTCAATGCATCCAGTGTCACCATGTCAACGGCCAACAAAATTAGATATTCTTCAGACTGAAACACAAACAACGACCGCTAATACATCGACTACGGCTGCGGTGATGGCGACGGTGACGGCGACAGCGGAAACAGCAGCAAGAGAGGGCACTTTCCTCAGCTTGTTTGAAAAACGTTTTGGTAAATTGAAAAGAATCAACAAACTATTAAAATCAAAACGCTTTAGTACATCGGCATTGTACGACAAGCCAAAGGAGCCAATTAAAGCAACATCCATAGACAATCCAACGCCGTCAACATCTCAAGCACCGTCGACATCATTGGCTGCGGTTACCGTGACAGCGCAAGCTCAAGAAAAAGTCGAATCCGCATCAAAACTATTTCGTTCACGTTTTAGCCCCGGTAAATCGAGCACTTCGGATTCAAAAAGCAGCGTCTACTCGTCAAAATTGTCATTATTCAGTCAAATTGCAAATAAAAGTTCAATATTTCATAAAAAATCACCAATGTTTTCAAATTCATCGCGTTCGAATAACGAATTAAATATACGCACAAATAGTAAAACACGACTTAACGAATTTTCGAAATCAAATTCTGAAATTAATAGATATAAAACGAGTCCGATGCGATTTAGTATGAAACGTTCAATGAAAGAGAAAAAACCGAACAGTTCAACATGTGTGTATACCGAACCATGCCATTCACCATTATCGGAAGAATTTTATAATAAAACCGGAAGCGTTCGACTCAGTGCCGTTGAACTATATGAAAAATTTTTGTCCGCAGATTTTGTCGGTTTATACAAGCAAGAGCCATTGACCACAGACGATTTGAATGGAACATATGATAGTCATTATGATTATCGTAAACGATATCAACGTAGTAAAAATGCTCGTTTACTTAAACAGAAAAGCGAACCAAAATTCACATTCAGAGGCGATCCAGCCGATTATGATCCAAGAGAAGGTATTTCCTATTATTATTTCTATCTTCATTTATGTATAAATTTTATCTAAATTTCAATTAATTCTTCCTAATTAAATTTCGAAAACAATACACTCAATTACCACAGAGGATGAAGATTATTATGAAGAGGAATATTCGGGTGATTTTTCCGATGGATATGAAGGCGAAGAATGCGAATATGAAGATGAATACGAAATGGAAGACATGGAAGAAATGGATGAAATGGAGGAAATGGATATGGAAGAAGAGAGGGTAAGAGACGATGTGAAATGCATAAAATATTTGAAATATACAATATGTGTTATGTTTGCAGGATGATGACCAGAGAGCATATCAGTCGGATAGAGAAAGTGATGTTGATGAAATATTTTTAATGCCTGAAGGTGGAAAATGCGGTGACTATGAATATGAACAGTATGGATTTGAGAATAAACATTTTTCATTGGAGCATTCAATGGTTGGTCATCTATCGGTGGCCGAACATGATTTAAGTGTTATCGATGAAATTCCATATTTGGATGATGTAGTGCAGCCAGAATTTGCATACGTGACCGAACAAACGCATGAATGTGATGAAGTTTTAACCATTTATAAAATATGTTCGGCCGACGATTTATTAACGGTTAAGGAGGAACCAACCGAAGAAGAAGAAGAAGAAACAATTCAACCATTATCACAATGTCTGTCGACATCTGATCACACGGAACCCGGTTGCAGTTCCGTTGAGCATGCATTAAATGAATACATAAAGAATGCACCATCTGACATATCTATAAATATTGAATCGAGCGATCTTAAAACTGACATATGTACCGTTATTGAACGTGCCGATTCGATGGAATCGTTGCGATTGAGCGGTTCAAGTGGAACAATTCAATCGGGCAGCACTGTAACGGGCTATGATTTTGATACGGTAAAAAATCTTAATCTGGACAGTTGCAGCACATCAAAGCTGAGCCTATCGCTGAAAAGTGAAGGTTTCGATGAGTTTACACTTACACCCGATGAACCGAAAAGGGTGCGAAATTGTGATGTTGAAGATTTTACACTAACACCAGAAGCATCATGCAATGAAATTGTACCTGCGGTAATTGCGTCGTCGATAACGGATGAAGGTGATGGTGTTGAACATGAAAATGCTAATATTGGTGTAACGATGACTGAAGAAAAGCCAGAAAGTGATTTACATCAAATTGAAACACAACGATCCGATCGGGAATTGGACGGCGAAACACCACAATCGGAAATTGTTCCATCGGAATTAAATGCCAAAACTGATGACGAATCAATTTCAAGCAATGAAGTTGTGATGATTGTTGACAAATTTTTGGCCGGTGAACGATTGCTACAACAAAATTTAAGCATAATACCAATTGATCCGAAAACATTTACGAGCCCAATAATATCGCCAATCGATTCCGATGATGCATCGTCAACAAATGCACTGATTGAAAAGCAAAAATCGATTCTATTCAATTTACAGAGCAGCAGTAGCAAATCAACTTTAGACGATGCTGTTGATTTGGAGAAAATCAATTTCGACGAAGATTACGATACGGATGCAAAAGAAAAAGAAGAAATATCAACATTTACAACTGAATTGACGAAAGAATTTGATTTGTTATTCACTCGAGCCGAAAATGAAGCTTTACAGAAGCAGCAGCAGCAGCAGCAGTTGCATCAACAATCATCGTCATCGATAAGCGGCGGTGGTGGTGGTGGCAGCAACATTGTAACACCAAAATATGACACACATTTTAGGAAAATGGATATCAAAACACAAATAACGCCCACAAATTTACCAATGACATCATCGACAACAAAAGGCAGTCAAATGATTGGCGAATCGGATTCATCTTCAACACCAAAGTCACATACACCGGCACCAACACGTTTACCAACCAGATATTCTATGCAAAAACTTGAACCGTATTTTTTTTCCGACGATGTCACCGGCACCAATGACCAAAATGTTGCAAAAACAGTGAATCCAACTAAAAATACGGACACATCATCAACTGCACCAAATGCAAATGTTAATACATCGGCTGCAGTCGATTCGAAAAGTGATAACTGCAAAGTACTTGATACGCATGACAATTCGTCATTTTTACAGAAGAAAATTCTATCCAAATTAAAAAAGAATAAAAGTCAGTCGTTAGGCAATTTGAATAAGAAAAGTCGCTGTTTTCCATTGTAACAACGGCATTTACATTTCAGTTGAGTTGATTTATTATTCTTATTTATTTATCATTCGGTTAATTATAGTTAAAACTGTGTGATTACTTTTATTAGTTTTATCAATTTGTGCGTAAAGCGTTGTCGCATTTTCAAATAAAATGACAAACCGTCTACGCCCCCCCGTACATAAATTAAGTGTCAATTTTTGCAATTACGTTTTTTTTCCTTTTTGTTGACAATTTTTCATTCGAAATTTTGAATCAAACATAACGGTGTTACAATTGTTTATAAATTTTTCATGAAATTTGTGCTCAATATTTTTATTTGGTAAAAGTTTTTATTATTTTTCATCGAAACATTCTGTTGAAATGTATGTTATTCGTTGAAACCATATGATTTAAAGCAAAACTGCAAAAGAAAAACTTATCTGAGGAAATTCGAAAATCAATATGATACATGAGTTTTATTCGTTTTTTTTTTTTAAAAAAAAGAACTTATATAACATATCTTTGTTATTTATCGCTTATATTTTGGTGGATTAATTTAAGAAATCAGATAAACAAATAAAAATTAAATTTAATGTCAGCGTTTGCAAATTAAAAAAAAAAAACAAAAGCAAAACGATGATGGCATTGATAAATATTCATTGGTTAGCGTTAGTGTTACCGACACCCAACACATTTGAAAGTTGATTTTTTGCACAACAGTCATAATCTCCACGGCAAGACCTCTAATAAGAGTTGAAATCTCGAATTGTTGAAAAAAAAAACTGAAATTACAGATCGAATACTTACACCTAAGCGTATATGACGTACACAGTTTTGTAAGCAGCCGCATAGGAGTCAGGAAAACATGAACTGAAGTCCAGAACAGGCAGATGGTTCGGTGCACTTAAAAAAAATAATAATATTTAGATTCACCATAATTGAATGGAAATGTGTTCCCAAACAAAAAAAAATGAATAAAAACAAGGACCATCGCACGTATAAGATCCTATTGCAAAAACCAATAACCCTAAAGGTTTTGCTTTTAAATATTTGATTTTCGTTCAAAATTCGATTAAATTTTTAGTGTTGCCCATCATTATACGACGTTATCGATGATTACTTAACACAAATTCTATCACTTATGTAAATTGTCTCTATGTAGGGTAGCAAGAATTGAATTGTGGAATTTAACATTCGAAATGGACCATTTACATGATGAATTAATTGCATATAATATAACATTGAATGGAAATGCACACTAAGAAATTAGAAATGGAATTGATATGGAAAAAAAATAATTATTAAATGAAAAGGTCATAAGTAAAACAATAAACTATAATTCAACGTTCTTATTCTTAGAAAACGAGAAATAATTTAAATTTAGTGAAACGGTGTCATTTCACATCATTCGAATTTATAAGCATGTAGCTGAACACAAAAAATGTAGTAAAATACGATAGACCCTTATCGAAAATTAGTTGAATTTTTTTGATGCGTAGAATTTCAAATACATAAAGCCATATAATATACAATTATCGTAAAACGTCAAATGAGCCGATTTGAACCGAAAAATGTGTGAAACAAAAATGCGTCACATGTTGAATTAAGAAAAAAATATTCAAACGGTACAAACCGACCGTTTCTTTTTAGATTAAACTACAAACGCAGAATTCCTTTTAGATGTAGTAGATAAGAGCTTAATGTCGAAAAGAAGTATGTACTCCAACGGTAGACCAAAAAACCCAAATGTAGTAAATTCGTTAAAAAAAAAAAAACAATTCCAAGATGTTAAACAATTTGGTTCATCCCATACCACCCACAAAAATTTAATGGAAAAAACGCAAGTGTTGCGACTTCTGTTTCGGTTTAAATGTACAATTCTTGTAAATGTATAGTGCCTTTTCCCAAAACAAACAAAAAACTTTTACGAAACCAACAAAAACGAAAATGTGTCCACACTCGCAGGCGATTGAAAAATTGAGAGATAAAATACATAAACACATCAAATTATTAATTGTGTATATTTATGAGATATAAATGTTGTTATTTTGAATTCGAATCGATTTAATTCTTGAAAAAAAAAGAACTAATTATAATGTGTCTGTCTCGTAAAAATTTTAATCCCTAAGTTACTTGTTGGTCCAAAGGGCGATTGTACATGTTTGGGAAATAAAAGTCAATGAATCGCAATTCTCGTCGTTCGATATTGATATAACATATATATTGAACTCTCCAGCCAAACAAATAAACATGAAAAACGAGCCAGAAAATGAATTTATCCAGACTAAAAGAATCCAATTTTTGTTTTATTAAAATCAACAACAAACTAATAGGATGCTTTGAACTTTGGTGTACAATAAAAGTGAGTGATGTTTTAATTTTGTGTTGGTGACATGTCTCAGAAAATGAAGAAAAAATACATGCCCAAGTCCGTTATTCAGTGTATAATAAGTACCTTTAGTTATAAATATGCCAAAAATCAAAGGTAAAAAGTCAAATTTATTTCGACCTCGATCCAAATAAACGAACAAAAAAGAACCAAATATTATATAAATATGTTTAGGCAAATAAAATCCAAATTATTTAAATGTATTTAGGTGTTGTTAAAAATTTATTCAAGTAAAACACAAAATATTTTTTAAATCAAAAATGAACGTTAAACCGATATTAATATATTAAACGGAAGTCAAGTGTATGCACCTCCTTTCTCCATTTTCCTCAACAACAAAAAAAAATCATTGAATTTTATTTATATTTTGACAAATATAGTATATCCGAAAATGTCTATTACCGATCCCTCCCCTAAATTCGAATATAGAAACGCAAAATTATATCCAATAAAAATATATCTTTAATCGAAAAGATGTCCTCATTTCAATAGATATACAAAACAATTCTCTAATAAACACTTAGGTAAAATATACACGTAATGAAAATCAACAGATTAAAGAACAAACAAAAAATTACGAACAATTTTTTTAATATGATATTTCAGTATTTAATTTTATATATATTTACGATTAAATGTTATAGAATAACAAATGTTTTTTTTTGCTATTTGATTTTCGACAACACAACCAACAACTAGAAATTCACTTAATTTAATATTTGTTTGTATTATTTTTTTTAAGAATTAAATCGTTGTCGTGAATGAATGGAAGTAAATTATTATCAAATTTGAAATAAAAAAAAATAATAAATTGCAAAAAATGAAAAGCGTTAATTTCTAAATGAATCTATTTGAGTAAAAGTAAAAACAAACATTGTCATAAATCGTCGATAAAGTTGTGTGTTCGTGCATCGTCGTTTAAATGCTGAAAAATGTCATTTACAAACAAAACACACTTTACGTTCGGCGTACTTTATCAATGAATAAAATAAAAACTGACAAAGATAAATTTAATGGTATTAGTAGTAATAAAACAAAGAAATACAACTGAAAGCAAATCGTTCACATTTTTCATTGGTAAATTAATTACTATCATCATTATTATTAATTATATTTATTGAATCCAGTGATGGTTCGTTTTGTCAGCTTGTTGTAAATAAAAAAGTTTACATTTAATCAACAATAAAACAAATTCAAACAAAATATAAAATAAATATAATTAATTATTTGTATGAAACGAGATCAAAATAAAGAAAATCCCTTAAATCCAATGTTCCATGTTTTCTCATGATAATTGTTACGTCGTTTTTCTTCTTCTTTTTTTTTACATCGATTGCATTACAATAAAATTAAAATAAATCTTCAATGCAAATCATATTTGTTTTCGTAATCTAATGATAACGAAATTATTGGCAATTCGAAATAATGTATACCAGCCTTTATTTAAAAAAAAATATGAATGTCGTCCAAATTGTAGTAAGAACACGCGCGCGTTCACATTTCCACAACAAAATGTGAGATAGCATTTGCATCGCTGTTATGTACACGCTCATTTGAGCGAAGAGTTAAATAGCATAGTGTGGTATGGACAGATTTTCTGCATTGGCTACATGGAATACAACCGATTCAAGTTGGATAGCCTAGTTTGATGCGGTTTCAATACATACGTACATACAACAGAAACTGCATGAATCAACTCAGTAGAACTTACAATGAGCAAAGGCGAGAACATAGCATGCACGCATACACATACACCCATCGAATGGTTCGTACACGTATGTGCGCACGATGAGAGAGCGACTAAAAAATGAAGTAACTGAACACCGAGAGCATGAAGGCGATGAAAAAGCAAAGCGGCACCATACATACGCATCTGCACATATACAATGAAACATACGCTCACCAACAAACGTTGTAGTACCGAAAAACGCCGTATATATGCAAAAGAACGAAGATTTAACACGCTTCTTCTTGTCAAACGGAAAGTTTTCGACACAGTGGTGGTGTGGTATTTTAGCTTGGTTGCATCTTACCGAACAAATTTCTTTCGCTTGAAGCATTTTTTCCCCAAAAAATTCGATTTAAAGATAAAAGTTTTCTTTATTTTTGATTATTTTTTCGTTTTTGGGATAGTTTGATTTCCATAAAACAGCGGTGGCTGAACATAATCAAGCGTGATACAACCGAAAAGAAATCTCACAAAAAAATCGTAAAATCATTTTCTAGTTTTGTGTTCATACATACATTCATTCTCGTTTTTTTGGACGACAAGACTGAGAGAGCGAGCGAGCAAAAGAGAGTCGTTTTGCGCTTAAAGCGAAGCAACGCAGCAAATATAAAAAAAGATATTTTTTTTTTTACTTCTGTGTAAGAAAGAGAAATAGCGACACATTTCATACGCATACACACAAAACAACATACGCGAAAAAAGGAAAATAATACGAATTAAAAAAACAGTCAAAGTTCGGAATTATTTTTTTTACTTTACATCAAATATAGTGGATATATTTTGGTAAGTCATCTTTTCGAGTTTTATTTTTAAAAAAAAATTGTTTTTTTTTTTGTCGTTTGCTTGCATTAGAATATAAGTGCATTTGAAATTGATTGAACATATCGAGAAATGTAAAAAACGGCTAGAATAAATAAAAGACCCAAAAGTGTTTGTTCGACAACTCTCATTTTGTTGGTTAAGTTCAATAGAAGAAAAAAAATGTTCCCCTTAAGTTTTTCTCTCTGACTTCGGCTACACAATTTTGTTGGTTATTTTTGTACGCAAGTTCGTTCAACAAGAAAGATACATATACTGATTGATTAAAACTGAAATCGTATATATTTTTTTTTTTTCGTGTGTCTTTTCTTTATGCGTATAGCGGCCGCCATTGCCTATGCTATGGGGTGCGCATTTTGAATGGCTGTATGGAAAAGTCATTGATAAAAAAGAACTAGAATACACAAAATTTTATTGCATAGACGCAGCAAATAAGTCCCGTTTGTTTCGAATGTCATTCCGATCATAATGATTCAGTCAAATAAACAAAATGACAACAATTTACAAGAGTCGCGTGAGAAACATGTTTTGCCATTTGCTATTTCAGCTGAACATGGTAATTTTGTACACGTGGTTTTGGTTATGTGTATTCATTTGACCAGCAGAATAGCGTCGATTTAGATGATTGAACATTTCAATGCAAACGTATTACTCACACTTTCATTCATACGCTTTCGGTTGTTTTTTTTTTCTTTTTTTTCAAATATTATTCATTTCGGTTGTGAAACGAAAGGTAAAACGAATAAAAAAATCTAAATTTAATTAGTGTGTGTACGAAATTGACAAAAAAATTATAGTGTTCATAATCAAGAAAGTGAAGAATGATGATGCATCATTTGGCATTTTCAGTAGCGTCATCGCCACACAATTTTTCCGTGGCATCATCATCACCATTGTGAATGTGCATGCAAATATAAATTCATCTGTCTATAGATTTTTCATTTGACGGGGGGAAAATGGCAGCATTCGATCTAAGTCAAAAAATAGCAACGCAATTTCTTTCTTTTTATTCATTTATCTTCTTCATCATCTTGTTCGAGTTTGAATAATTGAAAGCAATTGCATTTTAATCAATTACGAAATTCAAACAGAAGTCAGAGTTTGCAATCATAGGCCATTCAAAAAGACAACATTTATCGATTGTTGAACATTTTTTTTTCTCGATGAAACTCAACACATCAAATCAATGATTTGAATCGACAATAGTATAACAGCCAAGCCAACGTAGTATAATCGTTGTGGTATCGACGTATGTTGAAATTTGCTGCTGTTGCTGCTGTGTTGCGTTTTTTTATTTGCTATTACCGCTGCTGCTTCTTTTCAAAGTCATGGTCAAAGCGAACATTCAACCATTTGTACGATAGATGTGTACTTACCGAATTGGATTGCGCATCGCAATCCGCAAAATTTAATGTTCGACGTCGTTGTCGGCTGTTTAATGATGAGACCATACGCGGAATATTCGGCAAAATGGACACATTTTTCGATTGTATTGTTGTTGTTGTTGTTGTTGGTATTTCGAAGTCTCTCATCCGCTCTTATTCACTCGAATGCGTGTTTGCCGTGTATGAGAATATCAATATGCGCCATTTTACTTATTGTAGACGCCGAAACCGACCTGTAATTTATTACATGCATCGACGATATACTATATCTTCATTAAATATTATTTGAATGTATTTCTTACGCGCTCTCAATTCGGTTCGGGTGTTTTTTTTTATATTCCCGCAAAACAATGTGAAATGACATAGATGAGTGTATGTACGTTAAAATGATTTCTCTTATTTCATTTTAATTTAATAAAGAAGCAAACAACACAGATAGTAAGAATTTCGTTCGCACCAAAAGCGTATAGAACAGAACGAATTTCAATTTACCGAATCAAATGAAGAGAAAATAAAATAAAACATACATCAACGACAGAAACGCAGAGGCGACGGCGACAATAACAGAATAAAACGGCGGCTGATTTTTCATTCGATTGTACATGTGTTATGTACGTAAATTGCGTATAGGAACCAACCCATAGATACACATGCACATGAACATACGTTCACTCTCTGATTCATGCTAATATTTACATGACAAAAGCAATATGCATAACAATTGCAAAATGTGCGCCTTTCTTTTATTGAAACGGCTTTTTTTTCGGGCATTGCTTTTGTTCGATTATGTCAAAGCGCTAAAATAGTTTCTACAATATTTTCAAAAAGAGAACCATTGTCATGAAAACAATAATCGTTTAATGTGAAGATTGTTACTCAAATTTATCATTTCTTCATTTACTTCAAAAGAACTTTCAAGTTGATCAAGAATATTTCGCTTTTTCTCTCTCTCTCTAGCCTGACACTAAAATTAAATTGCGTGGTTATATCAAACGCACAATAATGCTTTGTTATTTGTATAGCAAGTGATTCTTATTCTCGTTTTTATTTTCTCTTTATTTTAATTTGGTGCGTTCTGTTCTCCAAACGCCGCTTTTCGGTTCAATCTCTCTCTATATCTCTATCTCTCTCGGTGTTTTCTCTTTTTCTCTGTATGCGTGTACAATGTCAGACGGGTCGGAGGAAACGGAGCGCTACGAGACGATGTATGAAAAATGCATCGGATTTTTCTCATTAGTTAATGCATGCTCAACATTGGTTGTGTTGTGCGAACAGACGCGCGGTTTAAATGTGTGTCATTCAATATGTGTGTTACATTCGGGTTATGCTTGTGTGTTATATTAAATGCCGGCAACTGGTGCATTTGTATTTGTGTTGCATGCTCATGTGCACTCGAGCAATCGGTTCTTTCAATTTTTTTCGCTTTTGCTTTTTCGTCGTTGCATGTTGATTTTTTTTTCATCGTTGTCGCCGTCGCCGTCATCGTCTTCAATCGTTATGTATGTAATATTGGATGGTGTGTATAGCGACAAACGCAGCAAATGTTGCGGCTTTCCTTCGGTATACATGCCATATATAAATCCGGTTTTTTCCTGCAAATGCACATTGTTGTTTTAGTTGCCGTCATCGTCATCTTTTTCATCGTTTTGCATCAATTATATCTCGTTCTTCTTTCTTTTCTTGCTCCTTCTTCTTCTATGCTCGCCATGTATGCATTCGACCGATATGTATTTTTCGTACGTTTTTATTCCATCGGTTGTGCAACTGCAACTGATTTTAGTTGCCCATACACATTTTCTTGATTTACAAAAAGACAAAAAAAAAAAAAACAGCCAAAAACAGCATCAGCAGCAACTTTTTTTTGGCAACAAACTACTTTTCATCTCATTGCATGAATAAACAGAGAGAGAGAGAGAGAAAGGAAGAAAAAAGACCGGGGGATTTTATTTATCACGCGAACGCATGCAAAACGACAAAGAATCACGAAAAAACTGATACAACTGAAGTTGGCACACGAAAAAAATGATACTAAACAAATGCTTAAAGGTGGAACAAACGGAATAATTCCAAGATAAAGAGAGCGAGAGAGTGAGAGCAATTCATCGAAAAATTTCTCGCAACAGTACCATCAAAACCATTGAATTTTTGCACATCAAGAAAATTTTACATGCAAAGGAACGGAAAAGAAGAAGAAGAAAGAGGCACAGAAAACACGGCAAACGATAAAAAAAACTAGCATAAAATTGCACAACAGCCGGTCGATTTAATTGTTGTAGTTCTTGTATAATACTTGAGAAGATCGTGCAGCACTAACACAGAAAAGGAACCAGGTGCGAATCAAATTAAATGTAATGACTTAACGTTGATTCGATAATACCTCGAGACCGAGAGAACCAATGACGTTGCCACACTTTTCTCGTCTCCTTTCCTATAGTTTCGCATAAAAGACCATTGTTCGCATGTGTGAGACAGCGAGTTGGTTCTTGTTTCATTGCGCGCCGATCTGTGTTGTCTCCAGTGTCTTGCGCAAGATTTTTTACATTGATCAATATACACTTTTTTTTCTCGATCGCCGAAAGTAAGAAGAACAAACACGACCGAGATTTTTGCATAAGAATCCAGCGTGCGCGCTCTCTTTCTCTTTGCTGCAAACCAGCAGATTTCATCTGGTTATTTTTCGCGCAAGTCAAACAATTCAAATACACAAACGAACTTCTTTTTTTTCCTGAATTTAAAGGCGTTGAGATTTTCTCTTTTTTGCTTTCATCCTTTTGTAGAATTGAATCTATTGTGCGTTTATAGTTTGAGTTTAACCGAATTTTTGTGATTGATTTAAATGATTTTTTTTTAAATTTTTCTCACTTTTTATTCGCAGAAAAATGTCTTCAAGTGCATGCTACAAGTGCAACCGTCCTGGGCATTTTGCTCGTGATTGTCAAGATGGTGGTAGTGGAGGTGGCGGCGGCGGCGGTCGAAAGTAACTATAACATCTAATTTCATTTTTCTAAAATAGTGTGAAACGGTACTCTTAAATGCTTTTGTCGATTGACTCAACAAATCGATAATATCACAGTAGTATGACCGTAAGAAAGTAACGAAGACGAATAATTGTTATCAGTGTGTCTTGTTGTTTAAACAGTTTTTTTTTGTTTATTTTTTCTTCTACCTGATCATCCGCGCTTATTTCATACACAATTGCATACTCTCGCTAAACCAATCGAGATCGGTCGAATATTGAATTCTGTCTGTGCAGACGATCATTCCGGTGATTCGTGATTGCAGTGAATACATATTTTTGTACGCGAACAACAACGACAACAACACTCAAAACTAAATAACAATCTATTAATTTTATGTTAATACTAATTACAAAAAAAAGTACACACAAAATTGAAATGTAGTGCGTCGAATGTTACGCGTTGCCAAAATTCGAGCAAATCCATAAATATTTATAAAAAGCGAAAGAGAATGAAAAATAAAATTGAGAAAAAAATATGAATTTTAGAACAAAAATGACAGGCGCAAATATGCTCTCTCATAAATGAAACAAAATATAACTGTAAGTGGTATTTTGTTTGTTAAACTTGTTCGATTATCATAAATTCAAAATACAAATTTGCAATTTAATACTTTTCGTTTTACAAATCGTATTTTGTAATAATTCATCAAAAAAAAGCTCACACCAAATATTTTTCTTCAGAATCTTTCAACCAAAAAAAAAAACTAAACTCAATGATTTTAATTCCAAAAAAAAGTTTATTTTTCTCTCATTTCATTCCTTAAATTGAATTTTCATTTTACGTTTGTTTTAATTTCAATCGCATGGATTGTTTTATAGCGTTACAATGAATTAATTCCACTTTTTCCCGTAATTTATTTTTGTCCTTTCGAAAAAAAAACTAGCTATTCGAGCAAAAGCTATAGCCGAGATGGTGGCGGCCGTGGACGCGATTTTGGACGCAACCGTGAAAAGTGTTACAAATGTAATCAAATGGGTCACTTTGCGCGGGAATGCAAAGAAGACGCTGATCGATGCTACAGATGCAATGGTAATTTCAAAAAATTTCTCCGCCCAAAAAAAAACTTTGATTTCTATTGAACAAATATTTTCCTTCTAGGCACCGGTCATATTGCCCGTGATTGTAGCCAATCACCAGACGATCCATGCTGCTACAATTGCAACAAAACTGGTCATATAGCTCGTAACTGTCCAGACCAAGATCGACAACGTGAACGCGATCGCGAAGAGCGCGGATCAAGCGGCATGATGTGCTACATTTGTAACAAGAGCGGTCACATCAAACGTAACTGTCCAGATGTTCAAAAATCATGCTACACCTGTGGTAAATCGGGTCATTTGAGCCGCGATTGCAACCAAAACGGTGGCCGAAACTAAACCACACACACGCAGGAAACACACACAGTTGAACGCCAACTTTCTCAACAACAATAAAAACAAAAAAAAACAACAGCAGCATCAACACAGCATGCGATAATAACAAAATCAATCGAAGATTTCAACATAAAATCCATGAAATTAACAAATAATAATATTAATAAATAATCTTTATTAAACAAAAAAAAAAAAACAAACAAACATACAAAACCATTTGATGAAAATTGAATAAACGAAATGAAAAATTGCAAAATTTTACAGAAGGAGAAAATAAATTTGTTGTCAAAATTTCAAAAACCTATACTTACATTCACAAACACATGCAAAATTAACACAAACCATACATACATTCAAATCGATTTCCATTTGATGAAGAAGAGAATGAAGCGAGTAAGAACAAAACAACAATTAAATGTGTTATGATTTTAGAAATGCATTCGTCTTTCGCCACAATACCTCCATTTCTTTTTTTTTTTTAAATATATATTGAAAACGAAAGAGAAAAAAAAAACCTAAACAAAAAAATTTAACATTTTTGAAAAGAAAACATAACAAAATGGGAATACAATCACATGCACAGAATTTCATGCATCTGACTATCTTAATAGATTCACAGAGCATCCAATAAAAAGAATACAAGACACACTAAGAATTTTAATTGTTCCATATATTCTTTATTGAGACAAAAAGAAAATCATCGTGATATTACGACCACTTTGTATAATTTGTTACTTGAATTGTAGAAGCGATGTGGACAAAGAAACAGAAATAAATAAAGAATATGATTAACAAACAAAAAAACATAGAAGTAAACGTTAAGCTCTATTAAAACATTTTAAAATATTTCATTTAGAAATTTAAAATAAATTGACAGTCCACGTTAAAATCAACAAAAGAGGTAGAAAAAACACACATATACAACAGATTCATTGTAACAAATTATTATAATCTTTTTTTTTTCTTTCATTTTCCAATATTTCACATTCATTTGCTGAAGGTTGAGACAAAAATTAAAAAAAAAATGTATTAAAGAAAAACGCGGAGTTTAATTGAAAAACAAACGTAAAATATAACTCGACCAGAATAACTGTGACCATTGACTGGCCCGATCTATTAACATGCTGAGCGGATTTTTTTTTTAATTTTTTCGTTTGTCATCAGCATTGAGGTGAAAAAAAAGAACACAAAAATTCCTTGCTTAAAAAGATGAATCACATTAAAATGTGAAAATGATTATTTCGTATGTTTAAGTGGTTCCTTATAATAGAAGAGACAAACAAAAGATGAAGAAAAACAAAATTACGAAAAACGATTATGAAAGCGATAACACGATGACGACATGAGAGAGTAACAAAATAATGGTGCAGATACAAAACTTGAAACAAAATTTTAAAACAAAAAATTAAAGAAAATGAAAACAAAACAAAAAAATTTATATTGCAACAGAACAGATGAACGTGTGAAAGGAAAAATTACTTACATAATTTTCAAAAATGAAAAAAAAAAAATTCTTAAAAAAAACAATTGAAAAAAGTGCGCGAAGTAAACACCGATTGACAGTAGACGTTGTAAGAAATAGAGAAAACAAATAATGGGAATAGAACAGAACAGTGGGCCGAATGAAACGCAGCAATGCGAATTTATTACGCAGGTCAAAGACTTAGAAGTCCAAACAAACCATACACACACACACACAAACAAACTGAAACGGTGAACGAAAGAAATGTACGTGAAGAAAAAACAAAACAAATTTATATTTATATTTAAATGAAAATATGTCAAAACAAAAAAAAATAATGAACGGGAAAGAAGTCATTACTATTAAAATAATATTATTTATAGAAATGAATTGAGTGAGTGCACTGGAGCAGCACTGACACGAAGCAGGAATTTCGCGACAAATCGCATATGTTTAAACTGTGAAACAGGCATAATTAATTAGCAAGAAATGAAAGATATGGATACAAACAAACAAACTGAAAACCATGCGAGAATTTTTAAAAACTGAAATAAATTGATACTGGGTATTTACTTCAAACACACCAAAAAAAGAACGATTCTAACAAATCCTGTAGTTTTCCTTTTTTTCTCTATTCTTCTAATTTTAATTTTGTTTCATGAGAATGAAAAAAATGAAATGGGTGACGCTCACATATTCAGTCACATTGTTCAACGACGAATTTTTATTATTCGATTTTTCGTAATTCGAAAACAAATGAAGGAAACACAAAAACAATTACGAATAGAAATGTTTGCTTTCCAGGCGATTCGTTAAACGAGTAATTATGATAATATTAATAGTGATGGTGATGATGATGATGATGATGATGATGATGATGATGGAGTGGAGTGAATAACAGTTTGCATTGAAAACGGGTGAGAATCTTTATATAAGCATTAGCTTAGGACTCAGGATCACATTAAAACAAACAAACAAATAAATAACAAATCCTTCTTTTTTACTGTACCTCCCAGTCGAGAAGGTCACATTGTTGTTGTTTTCAACATCGAACTCATGCTGCTTACGTTTCATCTATTAATTATAAGAAAAATAATAATTTTTAAAAGGAGATAGAAAGAGACAGAGTGAAAGAGGCACGAAAGAAACACACAAATGCAGACAAAACTTACAAAAAAAACTAATAAGAAACAACTGTCGAAACTATATATTTTGAGTCGGTCGCATATGTTTAAAAAAAAGTAACTTAATATTGAGAGTAAAAATGAAGATGAAGAGAAATAAAAAAGATTTCCTCAAATTTGAATAAGACGAAAAGCCAATTTATAATATTCATTGTTATTAAGTGGTGATATTCGCGAAATAAAATCGATTGAAATTTAATGGATATTGTCTATGTGTTTTTCTTTAACATTTATTTCATTTTTCAATAGTGCGTTGCGTACAATTTTTACAGACAAATTCAAGAACATTTTATTTTAACTTAAATTAATCGAAATGATTTTGATGTCTTCATATGGTTTATCGGTTTTCGGATTCGTTTTGGCATTGCAAATATTCTGAACCACTTCCATTCCTTTGGTCACTCGACCAAACACCGTATGTTTGTTGTCCAACCACGGCTGTTGTGATACAAAGAAAGGAACAATTTATTACATGAAAACCACTTTCGAAAGATGGTTAAATAACAAATACGTACCGTTGGTAATACCGTAATAAAGAATTGACTACCATTTGTATTTGGTCCGGCATTTGCCATCGAAAGTGTATATGGTCGATCATGACGAAGCGTTGGATGGAATTCATCTTTGAAATCACCGCCCCAAATCGATTCGCCACCAGTTCCAGTACCAGTTGGATCACCCGTTTGAACCATAAATCCTTTGATTACACGATGAAATATATGACCATTGTAGTATCCATTTTTACTATGGACACAAAAGTTTTCCACCGTTTTTGGACATTCGACACCAAACAATTTTATATGAATATCGCCACGTGTCGTATGTACAGTTGCCGAATTGTACAATTTTTGGAATCCTATCAAACAAAGACACATTTGATGTAATGATGACAAAATGTGTAATTAATATAATTATTATATTACCTTGACCCTCTGGCACGGCAATAATATCCTCTTTTGATGGTTTCTCATTGAACACATCACGATCAACGTTTTGTAGATCTGATGGCATCCGTCGGCTGTACAAATAAAATCTCGGTTTTTTAAATGCTGTCACAAACACCGTTGGGTCAGCACTCGATTGTGCTAAAATTGGATTATCCGATCCTTCTTGTTCCAATGACAATGCTGCCTTTGGTTTCTTTGTACGACCTTGGAACAGGCCAACATGCAATGGTCGAACATTATCACCTTTTCCGATAATTTTTATGCAACGATTTGTTTCGATATTCACAAGTTTTATGCCAATCATTGTTGGATAAAGAATGAAATGGCCACTGCAATCGAATTGAATATTTGCCAAATGCAGTGACTCCGATTTTTCCAAATCACGTTCAGTTGCCATTCTGTTATAAAATACAAGAAAAAAATATTTAAAAAAATTTCTAATTTAAATGTTTCGATTCTTACTTTCTTCCAAATTCCATGTTCGGTAGGGCATGTTTGGTTTGTTGTACCTCTTGATATCGAACCAATGTCTCATCAAAAACTCGAATCAATTTTCCCGTCAAAAAGGTAAACACACGCACCTTTCGGTCGGTTGATAATGTGGCAAACCGTTTGCCATCGGGCGAAAAAGCCAATCCCGTAACAATCGTCTTATTCTTTGCAAACTCATAAAGATCTACAATAAAAAATTCAATGTTTTTTTTTTTTAATAATTATGATCGATAAATGTTCAATCAAAACAAACAAAAGTTACCAGTATCTAATTTTGATTCGAATGACACAATTTTAGCGGGGAATATATAATCGGTTTTAGCTCCTGTCCATAATTCCAAAATGCCAGCTTGATCGACCGAAACGACAACTTCAAAAGATGCATTATATTTCATTGTTGTTACTGGTTTTGTGTGTAATCTTTCCAATACGTGCAATGGTTCATTGCTTCCCTGAGCATGATAAATGGCGATTTTTGGTGAATCAGCGTCACTCCTGCAAATAAAAACATTTTTGATTGCAAAAATTCCACCCACATGCCAAATGGCTTTATTTTAACTTACACAGCTAGAGCTGAGATGGCATCGTTCGGACTGTGAATCCATTCGGCGCATTTTGGTTCAAAGTCAAGTTTTATCATGTTTATCATATCGAAATTGACAACGTCGAAAATTTTCACACTTTTATCCGATGAAGCCGTACACAAATACGTTCCATTCACATTAACTGCCAATGCATTTATCGGTGCTGAGAATTTTTTTTTTTAATATACAGTCAACATTATTATTTTGGATCATTTAGCAATAGTTTTTTTTAGCAGTTGCTCATTTCTATTCGAAACAATAAATATGAACGAATCAAGTTTTAATTGATACTCACACAAGTGGCTTCGGAAATGTTTTACAAATTCAATGCCATCTTCCATTTTCTTCCAGAATTTCAAGTGACCATCAATGCTGGCCGTTACAATGAAATCAGTTTTTGTGACAACAACGTGCGTGATTACATCTCGGTGCATGTAACTTTTCTCATAGCATTCGGCATCCGGTAGATTTTCCAAATATAATTTTTCATACTCCAAAACTGAAAGTATTCAATTCAGTAAATAATTGTATATCAATTCGATATTATTTATTCAATTTATGTACCTTTACGTTTTTTCACCGGAGCCGCATCGGTGGGCAATGGTCCAATCCATCCATCGCTAGATTCATCGTCATCTCCAGCCTTATCGTCTGATTCATGTGGTCGTTTTGTGGTGGTCGGTTCGTCGTTGTCAGACATTTTAAAAAAAAATTGAAAAAAAAACTGTCTTATACTCTTTGAAATGGAAAAACACTACAAAATAAACCAAACAACAATATGTGACACACAAACGATTTTAAAATGACACCGTTTGACAATAAGGCATCACCATTACATTGTCAAATCGACATAAACTGTGTGTTGATTCACACATGGTTCGTGTGAACGGCACTTTATGCAGAGCGCAAAATATTCCGGCCGCATATATATCTTTATATATAAACGTTTACGAATTTTTTGTTTGGTTATGTATACATGTACATGTTAAAGATGCGAACAAAATGAAACGATATCGATTTTGAATTATTTTATATACTTTTTTTTTGTTATTGTTGTTTTTATTTAAATTCTTAAATTTATGAATGTTTCCATATTTTTCATCATTTTATTATTCTTGACAATTTTCTGTAATCTCCAAAAAAATAAGGAGCTATTGTAATTTGTTGTTTTATCTCCTTCTTCTTCTCTTTCTCATGAGTTGAACTGAATTGAATGGCAATGTTGTTGTTGTTGATTGAAAATGAGGATTGTATTCATTCATTCACTCGGATGATAAACAATGATGGCATTAACGTCGTCCACTGCGTCCACGAGGTGCTCCTCTTCCGCGAGGTCCACCTAATTAATAAAACGCAATACATATCAATTGAAAAAATGTGCTATGAATTTGATGAATGTTTTTATTGTTACAAACCTCTTCCACGCGCACCACGTCCACGTCCACCTCGTTGTGTTCCCGACCTGGCAGCGTCCTTCTTTTTGGCTTTTGCTTTTGGTGTGTCATCAATAAGTAGTGTTTCCAATGGCAAACTGTCCGGCAATATGAAATATCGAATGTTATTGCCGCGTATGCTGAGCGAATCTAATTGAACGGGATCACGATTTTTGATGGTCATTTTAACTGCTTTCAAATGTGTATTCATCGCAATATCAACGCCGGTTATCGTTCCATGCACCTGTGTGCCATTTTTTAATTCAATAGTCACCGTTTCGTGGCTCAATTTCATCAAAAATCTACAAAAAGCGAAGAAAAAAATAAGAAACGATTCATGTTATAGCTTTGGTTAGAATTGCTGTTGACGAGGTTGGTAAACAACATTTCTACACACATTGAAGCACACAACACTTACCGAACAAGCTTCATTTTGTAATAATCTCCTTTTCTAAATTATCAACGCACAATTTGTTTCCGTTATTATTGAATTCAATCAATAAAACAAAATTTTCTAATTTTCGATTGAAGTGAATTGAATTCAAAGCAAATAACAAAAACACCGAAACACCACTGTGTGATAGAGCGATGCTAAATCGTTTTGACAGTGCTCAACGCTTTGCCCGCTCACTGCATATGCCGGTGCTCAATTGAAACGCCATTATTTTGTTGCTCAATTTTTTTTACATTTGACGAAAAAAAACATGGTGAGCCACAATTATGTTGACATTTCGGGCTTTGTATGTGTATGTGTTAGTGCATGTGTCTGTAATTTGACATTTGCGATACATTCAAATTATGTACATATAACAACATGACTGAAAAATCTTCATTGCTAACATAATTTATTAAACGAATAAAAAAAAATGATTCGACACTGTGCGACAAGATGTAGACAACAGTATAGTTTTTTTGAAAATATTAGAAACTTATGCACATCGAATCAACGATGGAGTTCGCTAGCAAATGTGAACATATTCGACCGTATCGTCAAACAAGTACAAAAGGATCGAGCATTTCAACGGTGAATTTATCATACTTTCGTGTGCTTTTGAATTATTTCAGATTTGTCATTTTTTTTTAAATTAAACTTCTTTTCATTACCACAGAGAAGATGCCGCGTTATATGATTATATCAAGGCTGAAGTGGGTGAACGAATGGTGGATCGCATGTTTGACTTAACCAAAGAATGTAAAGTAACTGCTGAAATTGGATGCGGTCGAGGATTCATAACACGACATGAACTACCCGATGGCATTGAGCAATATTATTTATGCGATTCGAGTGAAGTGGCCTTGAAACAAGCTGAAGCCACCGCAAAACCAAATGGATATAAAATGAAAACACTTCAAATGGACGAAGAAGCGCCAAAAGTAAATAGATCGCATTGTCAATTTGAGCTTTCTTTTGAAATTTCTCTGAAATGATTATTGTTTTGATGATTATTCAAAAGTTTGATGAAAACTCTTTAGATATGGTGGTATCAAATTTGAGTTTACACTGGGTTAACGATTTACCGGGCTGTTTTAAATCGATTATTCAAAGTTTAAAACCGGACGGAGTATTTTTGGCATCGATCTTTGGCGGTGATACATTATTCGAACTGAGATCATCATTGCAATTGGCCGAACTGGAACGGAAGGGTGGAATTTCAGCGCATATTTCACCGTTTGTACAAGTTCAAGATATTGGGGCTTTGATGCATCAGGCTGGTTTTAAAATGTTGACAATTGACACAGATGAATTGGTCATCGGATATCCGTCGATGTATGAACTGATGTACGATTTAAAAGGTATTTCTTTTCATCTTATTTCAACAGCAAGCAAAAGATAAATTGATTTTTATTATCGTTGATAGGAATGGCTGAGAACAATGCAACATATACTCGTCCGTTACATTTATGTCGTGATGTAATGGCTGCAGCGGCTGCAATTTATGATGAATTATACAAAGCGGAAAATGGAGTTAGTGCAACGTTTCAGCTAATTTATTTAGTGGGCTGGAAACCCGGCCCGAATCAACCGACACCACTAGAAAGAGGCAGTCAAAACGCCTCATTCGCCGATCTAGGAAAATTAACACAAAACATTGATTTTGAACCGAAAAAATAGTCGCTTTAACAAATGTGTGGGAATGTTTAGATTCATTAAAGCCAATAAAATCTATATCTATAAATCAGAAAGTATGTATGTATGTATGTCCGGGGTTGGCGTCCAAACGCCTCAACCGATCCGGATAAAAGTGGTACCGTTGGAAAGGTCTCGGCCCGGCGGTGAACATAGACACTATCATGGTCGGCCATCATAGCTTAACACGGCCATTATGGTCAAAAACCGTATTTTTACTGTTATTTTTGCCTAAATTTTGCACATTTCATGTCAAGAAGGTGAAAATGGACCGTGGTAAACCGTGGTAGCCGTGATGGCCGACCATGATGGACCGTGGTAAATGGTTTGAAATTTAAATTTTGACGATTTAAGCGATTTTAACATCATTTAACATGGTTATTAAGGTTGGACATCACGGTCCATCGTGGTATAACACCATATAACACGGTTATTGAGGTCGGACATGATGGTAGATCGTAGTCTAGAACCATTTAACATGGCAAAAACTGTCAAAACATGATTTACCATGGTTTACGGAGGATTTACCACAGTTTAACACGGTCCATTATTTGTCAACCATTGCTTTTAACATTGGTCATCCAGCGTCGAAAATCGCTGAAAATCGTTCGATTTTGGTACTGTTGAATTGGACTCGAATATTGCAAACTAAAGCCGAAATAAACGATCATGAAAAACTAATCATTCCAACAGCAACCTCCCGAAAGTGTACTGTACGCAATTTTTTTAACCATTTTGTTTAGCACGATAATTCTTCTTAGAGAAAAGCAAATTCAGATCTGACTTTTCAGGGTAATCGGGATTGCAAGGAGTAGGCTGGTATTGTTTTTGAGCGATATTCGTTCATCGGTGTATCCATGATGTACCCATAGGGAGTATGGTATGCGAAAATTTTGTTTAACTAGATAAATCTTTTCCCAGAGACGTAAATCAAAGTTTTGAAATGTGTAAAGGGGTTTTTTTGGTACGAGAAAACCGAATCTGATGTTAGTTTTGAGAAACAATCAATATATGAAAAAGTCACCAAAAAAGTGGGGTTTGTATATAGAATACGTTGTATAGAAGGTACCTTCAATTTGTATTGAAATTTTGCTTCGAACGTTTTTCATTCGGCAAAGGAAGAAATTTGGAAACATCAGTGCGGAAAAGTTAGACTTACGAATGTAAATTCCATTTTAATAGTAAAGGGTAACCGTCCAATATGTAAAAAAAATATAGAAATATCGGAAGAAACTACCCAAGCACTCAAATTGCACTGTTCGCCCGGGGCATTTGCACTTTTTTTTTCAGCTGTTTGCATGGCAAAGGCTGCTAAAAAGGGAAATAACGAATAAGACGCAAGACACGAATGCCCCGGGTGAACAAGGCAAATTTAGTGCTTGGGTAGTATGCCGAGGCGAGCGAAGCGAGCCGAAGGCATGCTAGTTGTATTATAACTAGAAAACGGGTTTTCATTTATTTTTTTATTTTTCCGTTAAATAACTATTTATTCTTCTATATTTGCATAATAATTGATGAGTTTGTACATCCGTATGTTTGTTTATGTGTTATGTTGTTCTTGTTGTTCGGCGGCCATTTGTTCTTTATGTTTTTTCGAAATGCCGGTTCGACGATATTCGGATCTTTCATCTAGATAAATTTGTGTACATTCTTTATTGAAATCTTCATTATAAAACCAATGTGCCATGCAGTCTTTCAGTTTATCGGTAACATCTCCACATTTGAACGTCACCAATAAACCATTATCTTTAGCACATTTTTCGAATGCTCGCACTTCGGCTAAGCATTTAACTTCTCTGGATCGTTTTCGTATCAATTGTGGTATGAGCACTTTACGTTCACTCGTTCGAAGACGTTTATCATCAGGATCGCCTTAAACCAATAAGAAAGATTTTTCAATTTTTTTTGTCCCCCGTTCAATATGACTTTGATGCTTTGCAATTGATCAATTCTTACCTAGTCCATGTGGTCCAGCTGATAAATAAGATGGTAAGACTGTTTTAATTTCTTTTTCCGACATAATTCGGTGAATAGTTCTATATGTTGGTCTCACAAAAAAATAATCACAACAAAAATTACGACTATAATCTACCTACTTCATCAAGTATATAGATAAACATAACCTTCGTTTGTCATTTTACCGTGTAAAAACTGAAAGGAAAACTGTCAAACGCTGTAATATCGACACAATTTTCTAATTGAGCAAAACAATATAAATATTTTTGTAATTTTTAAAGTTTCATTTTAATTTGTTCATATTTTCTTTCTAATAAATAATTTAAAATCGTTCCACTTTAAATCAAGATAAAAACATATTGTATATTTTTTATTATATAATGACTAAACATTTATTTGCAAATTTAAAATCGAAAAAAAGGGACAACATTTGATTCCATCAAGTTTTTTTTGTTTAAATTTATTTAATTTTCGGTTTTTGTAGTTTTAAACTGGTAATAAATGTATCGTATGTTGGATCACGACCACGGAAATCTCTAAATAGTTCTAATGTGTCAACGTTGCTGCCGGCCGTTAAAAATGTTTCACGGAATCTTTGGCCAATTTTAGCGGCAGCTTCAACATCATCGCAGATATTAACGTTTCCAAATGCATCACAAATATCGGCCGCCATCACATTTGACCAAACCAATGCGAAATAGCAGCCCGACCAATTGCCCACAACAACTTCCAACATTGACAATAATCGTGAATCACGTTTATCCAATTCGAAAATAAAGTATTTGGCATAAATTCGTCGCATGAGCTCCAACCAAAATTCTTGTGTTGAATAGATTTCCAAATCGATGGCCGATCTGAATAGTTCGGTGGAAAGTTTATAGCCGGCCAACGCTAAACGTTGATCTTGAATTGCTTTAATATGTTGATCGGTTAGCGGTTCTTTTGTGCTAATATGTTCGGATATTGATTTGAGAACATCGCTGCGATACAATAAATTATTAAATACATCCGAACATACTCTATCATTAACATATTCAATATTAAGTAATCCAGACAATTCACGATAATTTCTTTCGTTCAATATTTTTTGCAATACATTGGCAAATCTACTGAAAATCAATTCAACTTCTGACAATTTAAATGTATGTGGTTTACCATACAATGGTGGTGTAAAATTGTAAATCAATGACACAAGTGGTGTGTCATTTGTCCGGCTGCAATGTTCCCGAATCGGTATAACAAATCCATTTGGTTCATCATATACAAATTGTTCATCGGACGAACGACACGTATCCAAAAAGAAACCGCCGATTGGTTTTGATGAATCGGTGCGTAAATTACTTTTTTTCATATCAAAAACATCAAAATATTTCACACTTTTATGCCATAGTGAGATCGACTCATCATTTCGTTCAACAATTTTCACGCCAAACAATTTTTCGGCCAAACCAAATAGACCGCTAAACACTTTGTCAATGGGAAAATATTCTTGTATTAAATTCTCATCGTATTTGCATACGGTAATGTTATACTTTCGCAACCAATATGGTATGTCATATTCTTCGATTTGATGAGATTTAAAACCACTTTGAATGGCAAAATCACTCAAATCGTTGATCTCCTTAAATTGGCTGGGTTTTGCGTGTGAACGCAATTCATCAAGAATTTTTTGCGGTTTTTCGACTCCATTCAAAAGATTTCGATCACGTCTCACTTCTGCATGTGATTGATAGCCTAATATTTCTTGAATTCGTTTACGATGATCCCGTGCCCATTCCAGATGTCCACTGTTATCCAGTTCGGTAACGACTTGTCGTGATGCTTTCTTGCAATTTGCCTGCCAAACATTCCAGCGTTGCTCACGATCTGGACAATAGGCGAGGAAATTCTTCAAAATGTGTGGTTTCAGTGTGATTTTCCACGGCCCATTCATCGGATTATTTGAATCTTCAGCGATGGCCTGTAGTAGCTCCGGTGGAAATGACTGAACCAATGTATAATCTCTAATGGTGTGCGCAAAATGATCAATTGCAACATACGTTTTTGATTCGTATGTAACTAATTCTTCGGATAATTTTAACTGTCGATATTCCAATTCACCGCGAATATTCTCATCAGTGATTTCAATGCCGCAAAGTTTACCTTCCAACACATACAGATCGAATAGACGTTTTTGTTCCATTGTCAATTCTTCGTTGCTCTTTCGAAGCTCTTTTATCGCTTCATAAATTGGCCGACTATGGTATTTGCTGTTATTGGCACGACGTGCACGTTGATGCAATGATACATAATTTTTGATTGGAAAAATCACATTATTGCCATTGAATGCTGTCTTTGCCAGGCCCCAACTGGCCAACAATTCTTTATCAATTGTCTCAATTGGATGCAAAACATTGTCGAAAAATTCCTTCAATGTTATTGGTTTGCCGGACGCATTCAATTGTTGGAGATACTCTTCACCTTTTTTTACTTCAGCTTCAAGTGCCATTGCCTGAGCACCAATACGTCGTATACATCGATCAATCGATATATTTCCAAACTCTGGAAAACCATGCTCATTTATGAATGGATTCAATTTTGGATCATCATCACCAATTTCAGGTAATCTGTAAACAAGATTCATATTTAGTAAACAAATAAAAAAAGAGAGAAAAAGAAAAAAAAGAGCACTCACAATACAACATAACCTGAATATGAGCGTGCTGCTAATGGTCGGATTTGTCGGTGAATCTGATTTAAAAGATTCCCATTACGCAATAATGAAATTAGACCCATTTTGTTGGTCAATTCAATGTGAAAAGTATTGTTTGAGTGCCGATCCACAGATCAGTGCTGATAAATTTACTTTGTTGTCGAAATCCCGATCAAATAAATATACTTAAATTTAAAAACAACTTTATATTTTTCTTTACAGAGTTTCAATCTCTCTGTGTGTGTTTTGAATGTGTGCGACGACAGAGTTTGTCAATTGACATATCATTTGGATTTGAATGAAAACCACGTGAATAATGCAGTTTTAAATGAGAATATACCTAATACCCGATTTGATGAGATTTTTTTTTTTTTTTCAACGTGAAAATTTCGTTCAATTTATCGAATACCATTTTAAATGAATAAAAAAATGGCACATTTTCCCAATAAATAACATTTCAATGGGCACATTTTATTTTTAGTACAAAGTTATCGTACTGCAATACCAACATTTACATACATATACCACCAATAACAACACCAACGCAACGAAACGATGCGAATCCAATTTCGCTGACAGTTCGACATGGTGTATATAGATATAGTGTATTTCTTTTCAACAGCAGCTTGACATATTCGTGTATTAATTTTCGGTACGATTGAAACGCTTCACAACGAAAACCTCGTCACTGAACATACAATCGTCAAATACACATAGCACTCTGTGGTTTAATTGCAACATACCAAAATTCCAATTCACTTTTGATTGGTAGCATCAGTTGCTTTATAGTTTTTAAAAATGGTCGACAGACTTGGTGAGTAATAAAAAAAATAAAACAAAAAAAAAATAATAAGATACAAATTCTAATTTGATAACAAAAAAAAATATATATATCCTATAACTATTTTCTGTACAACAATTTTTTTTTCGTTCGCTACGAGATTTGCATTTTTCGATTGTGTGAATTTAGCTGGGATAAATTTGTATATAATGGTTGTACAATCCCGCATAAATATTTTCAATTTATAGGCGGTTCTTTGTTTGTGTTATTATTTTCTAATATTCATCGATTTTGTATTTATTTATTGATATAGCGTTATTATTTTTATCATTATTTTTTTTTTTCGCTTCATATGTATATTTTGTCGAAGTGCAAACCCAAAATAAGAAGTCAATCACAGAAGAAAAAAAAGAAGTGTTGTGTATATATACATAGGAGTAATGTGAATGTGGAGTATTATGTGCGTGTGTATTTTTGTGCAAGGCGAAAATGAAAACAAAAACAATTTAAAATTAAAAAAAAAAAAATAATAATACAGGAATATTGAGAATGTGAATCATACAATCATCGATACATGGAAGTTCGGATTTTTTTTTTCTCTCATTGTTTTCGTTTTGCACTGTATTCGACGGTAGTTGTTGAAATGAAACTTAAAGCAGCAAAAAAAAAATATACTGGCAACTATTTTGACTCAGCGTGAGTCAGTCGATCGTTTGAAACACACGCGAAAGATAAAAACAAAAAAGTCAAAGCAATCGAAGTGCATATATTTATCAATGAACTATGAATTATTTTATCTCGTAATTTTTTGGAATGTTTTACGTGTGCTGTTTGTTCGTGTTAAAGTCGAAACGCTTGTTTCTGTGCGTATATTTGTGTACATATGTACAGTGCAAGTATATGCGAGTCATTTGATCTGTGATTTAATTGCATTGTTTTGGTTTTTACAACTACCAATCGCAAAAAAAGGCGATTTCGATTAATTTCGCGACAAAAAAAAATGTGTTGTTTACTTGAGAAATAGAGCTTCCAAAATATTTGCTTTTACAATCCGATTTCAAATCAAGCACTTACATAAATTGATAAACTGGTTGTGATATAAAATGAAAACATTCATGCAGCTCTCTTTTTTTTATCGCAAAAATATAAAGACGCATTTCATGAACATTATTTGATGTTAATTTGTTAAGATTGTTGACAAAGCGAAAATGAATAAGAGCGATCGAGGAAATGAAAGGGATAGCGCTAGCGAGAGAGAAAAATGGACAGCTGTGTGTATAATGATGAATGCATTTTTTTTGTTTGAAAAATATAAAATAGCATAATGCTGGTTGACATGAAAAACGCATAGTTATCGAATATTTAATACCAATTCCCTGCAGACCGACTGCCTTTTCTCAATTTGATTGTAATATTAGACGCACATTATCGAATTCAATGTACAGATGGATTTCAATTTCTTTTCCCCAAACATCACACACCAACCACAAATACAACATTTCATTTATTTGCCTTTCTATCTCTGTTTCTCTCTTTTGGTGTTGATCGATGTGTATGAGTAACAGGCTGAAAAGAAGAAGAAGAAAAAACCCGCCACACTGTGTATGCGTTGTTTACTTTACGTGAGTGGGCACCACACACCATTACGTTACGCGTCCAAAAAAAAAAAATGAAAATTGAAATTGTACACCGTGTTACTGAACACGATTGTTATTAATTTTCAAACGAATGAGATGACATGATAATCACACATGGCGACCGAAATCGTGGGTGAAAGGGACAAACCATGAGTTAAATTCATAACTCCGTCAATCGGTTTTTTTTCTTCATTCCTTTACGTTTTTTTTTAACGTGTTGTTTATTTTCGTTTTGTTTCATTACAGCGATTGTAATGTAATGTTTACCGTTTTCTTTTGTTATTCAAATTAAGCGACAAAACGACAGAAAATGTATTTTTCTCGTTAGTATTTTAATGATCAACATTAAAATAAAAGTAACCAACTTCATCTAAAGTCAATCCAAAAGCGTCGACCACAGCACACACACACACAAATATGCATTTCCACACTAGACTTACTCATTATATGCGGCGCTCAATTTAAAACACAAATCGTTCACACCTTGGCATTGTTTCTTGCACTATACTAGAGTCACCGCATTCTATTACTTTTGATCGTATTCTTTTCTTTTGATTTAACGGATTTCATTACATTTGATTACATGAATTGTTCATTAATGGAACGAATTTTTGTCGTAAAACTTTCAACCTTAAAATTTGGCATTGTAAACAAGTAGCAACCATCTGAAAAACACTTCAATCATACATGTTTATCATTTTTCACGTGAAATCACATGTCAACAATTATGACAATGAGTGTGATTCAATTTCAATGATGCGTTGTCGATAGCTCAATTGAATCATGTTTTTTTTTTGTAATTTTTTCAAACACCCTACACGCAACACATACATGAGATAAATTCCGTTTATATGGACAAATATCGTGAAAGTTTTTTGATTAAATATTTATGTTTAAAATTGTAGGGACCAATCCCATAAAATGATAACTAGCATGATAGTGAAATGAGATATAATGTCCAGAGTTCATAATTGTATGACCAATTGGGGTATTTCATGAAAAAAAAAAAAATGATTCAAAATGATACTATTTCATTGAAATAGTAAAAAATTATAGAATTATGAGATAGCAAAAGAATTAATAATCGCCACCCACATAAATGGTTTGATTTCTTTACAATTTGTCCGCCTTTTGCTGAAGAATAACCTTTTCTCTAAGATACAGTAATAATTCTTTTTAAAAATAAATTTGACGCCATACTTATCATTTCAAGCTGTCTTAAAGCTGCAGCTTTACGGTGCATGCACCCAAATTTACCTGAAGTACAATGATCTCTTTATCCCAAAACAGATTATCGAGAGATTTCGCGAAATTTCATTCAGTGTACAACACCTTATCATATACCTTGTGAAAATGTCAAAATTCCATGTGACATCTGTTACCCCATTGCCGAAAGATGTGTTTCTTGGTTTTTGTGTCTGTGTGTGTATAAATAAAAATGTGTGCGTTATAAAAGAACGACAAAACAACGAGTCCAATAATGTTGCATTAATGCACCAAGTGACCAATCCTTAACACTGCGGTAAAACGTGGATGTAATAAAAATAAATAAATAAAGTAGTAGTTTTTGAAGAAATTTATAATGCAGTGAAAAGCTCTTTCTCGCGCTAGTCCGATTAGTCAGTTTATTCATGCGGCGACGAATAATTCGTTGGCTATTTTTGTTGGACCGTGGTTTCAACGGTGACAATAACAACACTAATGTCCGTCTTCGCTGTCGTTGCCGCTGCTGCCGATGAGTCAGCCAACGGATAACACATGTAAAACAAGTTCATTGTAAAGCAATGCGCGAAAATAAACCTGAATGAAATTTGATGAATAACGAATGTGAAAAAAAACAGCCACACTCATTGAATTTGCGATTGCATGAGTAATGTGAAAAGACATAAAAACAGCGGCCTATACTTGTATGCTTGTTTCTGTCTCCTCTTATTCATTGCCCTTCATTTGCATTTGCAAAATTGATATGAGAGAGAGAAGTAAAAAAAATTTACATTATCAAGTGAATTATTTCTTTTGTACACTTGTTGCACTGCATTTCCTCAGTGGTTGCAGCCTTTCTGCATGCGTACGACACATTCTTTTTTTGTGCTGCTTTAATCACATCGACCGACACATATTTTTTTTTTCGTTTTGTTTATAAATTTATACATATAGTGTGCATCAGCACTCGATTTGTAATGATTCACTTTCTTTTTCATTGTATGGTCACAGAGTCGTACAATTTTTTTGTTTTGTTTTGTATATTAGCCATGTTTATTGTTGTTTTTGCTACATTGAGTTCATATCTAATTCATAAAGCGATAAAGAGTGTTGGTGTACAATAGAGAGGCTTGATTGCTTGTTGTATTGAAATATGTTGGTCGAGTTCGTGGAAAATTGAAATGTGAAGACCGGTACAGTAGTAACAAGTACAATTTTACATTCGAAAATCGATAAGTGCAATTAACTACGTCATACATTTCACCGAATGTCTTTCATCGCGCCGTATCACCACAAATGAGTATATGCATGAATTTCGACCAGAAATTGGCATCAGCAATAAGAAAAAATCAACCTAAATATTAGAAGTGGTTTGAATTTTTTTATGCATGTTTAGTACATGGTGAATAATAACAATAATCTAATAATAAAATCCACAACAATAAACCTCATTGCTGAATAAATAGTACAAGCGTAAAAATGATAGTGATAACGGTGCTGTACACCAGTATCGGCAGCAACAGAAGCAACAGTAGCCGCAATATTGTTGATTAAAGTCGGTGCCTTATAATATTCGCATATATACACATATGTTCTTCACATCGACCAAAACCCACACATAACGATTTGTTTGCACAGCAACTCGATCGCGACCGGCCGTCCAACCCGCCCGACCCATCGACCGTTCGCCGAAAGACACACTCTTTCCGCTTCTTTTTTTCTCCACACATATTGAGAGTGAGGTGCAACAAGCCGATTAGTCTTAAGTATCAGTAACGGCATGGTACCATAGTACTGATTGCCAGCACACGAACCCAACACGAAATGGAGGCGAGAAAGAGAGCGAACGAAAAAGAAATCATTTGCGCTGAAAAGAATTGAAACTACAAACTTTAAAATGCGCACACAGAATCCGTCAAATAAACGATGCAAATCGCGCACACACATGCACACTGACCATATCTTTTTTCCAATTTGATGTGTGAATAAAACGGAATGCATTGTAATGATGCTGAAAATTAGAAATTATTATTATATATTCTTTTTATAGACGATATTTATCTCTTTTCAATGATGTATTTATACAACGCATATCAGGCGCGCGCAAGCAGGAATTCATCAGAAACAACAACGAGAAAAACAAAATACGAATGACATTGTTTCTTTTATCATGACTTTGCACTTTATATATTG